TTGAAAACGGAACCATCCGACCATCACCTTCCAAAACTGTTGCTGTTCGAAACTTTCCACAACTGTGTAACTGTAAACAACTACAAAGCTTTTTAGGACTAACGGGATATTTTCGTAAATTCATTCCTCATTATGCTAAAATAGCTAAACCTCTTAGTGACTTACTTAGAAAGGGTATTGGTTTTAAGTTCGATTCCGAACAACAGGAAGCTTTTTGCAGATTAAAAGAAATTCTCTCTCAAGCACCTGTTCTACACATATTTAGGCAAGGATATCCATAGAACTTCATACTGATGCTAGTAGTCAAGGCTTTGGTGCGGTACTACTCCTGATCATGTCCTACTTTTAATCCGAGGATGGTAATTATCATCCAATTCAGTATATGAGTAAGAAGACTTCACCGCAGCAAGAGAAACTCTGTAGTTACGAATTAGAAGCCCTTGCAGTTATAGAAGCTCTGAAGAAGTTTTGATACTATTTGTTAGGCACTAAATTCAAAATTGTAACTGATTGTAGTGCTTTTCAGAAAACTTTAGATAAGAAAGATTTAACTCCTAAGATTGCAAGATGGGCAATGTTTATTGAAGAATTCGATTACGAAATTGTACATCGTTCAGGAAGCCAAATGAAACATGCTGATGCTTTAAGTAGAAATGCTCTAATTTTAACATCATACACATCCGATGTAACTGAGAAGATTCGGTTAGCACAACAACAGAATGAAGATGAACATGTGAAATTGATAAAGAATTTAGTTGAGAAAGGGAGAAGAAAATGGATTCTTCGTGAGAAATGATACTTTGTACAAATTTGAAAATGGGAAAGATCTGCTAGTAGTGCCAGAATCCTTACAGAATGAAATCATACAGAAGGTACATAAAGGGTCACTTTGCTGTAGAGAAAACTGTGAATGCTGTAGAGCAAGAATTCTATATTCCCAGACTGAAATGCAAAGTTGAAAAGGTAATTGCTAACTGTATAGAATGTATACTGTACAACAAGAAGCAAGGAAAAGCAGAAGTTTTCTTCATCCTGTACCGAAAGGAAACGTTCCTTTGAGTATATACCATGTCGACTTTATTGGACCTCTTCCATCGACAAACAAGAGATACCAACACATTCTAACTGTTGTCGACACTTTTATGAAATTTACTTGGTTCTATCCAGTGAAATCACCAACTACACAAGAAGTCATTTTGAAATTGAAGCAACAACAGACTGTATTTGGAAATCCAGCCAGAATCATTTCAGATCGAGGTAGTGCCTTTACATCGTAAGAATTTTCAGCTTATTGTACTGAAGAAGGCATAGAACATGTCAAACCGTCAAAACATTATGACCGGTATTCCAAGAGGTAACGGACAGATTGAGCGAATCCATAGAATTTTGATTCCTGTTTTGTCAAAATTATCACACGAGGATTCAACAAAATGGTTTAAGTATGTTCAAGATGTTCAGAGAATAATCAACAGTACAACTACGAGAAGTACAAAATATTCACCGTTTGAGCTTCTCATAGGCACGAAAATGAAGAACAAGGAAGATCTGAGAATTAGTGAGATATTGAATGAAGAATATCTAAAGCAGTTGATGCAAGAACGTGATGAAATGAGAGAAGATGCGAAAAACAACATTTTGAAGATACAAGAAGAGAATCATAAGCAATTTAACAAAAGACGTAAGAAACCGAAACTGTACAAGATTGGCGACTTGGTAGCCATTCAGAGAACTCAGTATGGGACTGGTTTGAAACTACGACCTAAGTTTCATGGACCGTATAAAATCATAGCTGTTAGATCAAATGACAGATATGAAGTCGAAAAAGTAGGATGCCATGAAGGACCAAATTTGACATCTACTGCGCCTGACCATATGAAGCCATGGTCAAATTGATTTGATGTTTGTATCAGCTCAAAACCTAAGGACCTGATACTCTTTTTTTTTTTTTTTTTTTTTATTTCTCTTTGCAGGTACATGATAGTGATGTCCAGTCAACAGACATCGAGGACGATGCCTCTTCAGGCTGGCTGAAGCTGTGGGGATCAACGACCAAGGCTGACTTAGCGAATTACCAGCAATAACGTCATTCCAGCACAGCGTAGTGCGAAGCATTCCAGACAGCATCAGATAGTGTCCAGACGTGGATGAGAGTGGAGATGTGAGCAGACGGCTCGCTCGTCTTCAAGAGTTGAAGAAGACAGACTGTCTTCTTTTGATGTTTTGCCTTTAGCTGTTATGCCTTTAGCCGTACATATTATTTAAAGCTAGCCATAGACGTTTGTGTGAAAGGACTGAAATGTGAAATGTTCATCATTACATGAATCCTGAAACATTAATTTTACTTAACCTTTATCACTTTATTCTATTTCTTATTATTAAAATAAAGCATTTAAAAATGCTACGTTCGTGCTCTCTGTCTCGAAAGAAAACCCTACATATATAACTATCCAAATCGTACTTCAGGAATTATTTAGTCAAGATTTATTGAAAAACAATTATTATAGTTTTCAATATATTCATGTAGAAAGAAAATTTTAACACAAGAAACTATTGTTGATAAAAAAGGGATACATGGCAGAGAATTGTTTCAAAGTGAATAGTTCTTCCATAAAAATGAATCGAAATATTTTATATAAAAAAGGTATAAATGCACACAAACAATGTTTAAATATTTGAACCAAAGAAAAACAAAAGTAAATAAATACATCATTTACAAAAACCTTAGCAGCAAGGCTGTCACTAAACTAAATCTCTACGCTAAATCCACCATTGTGTTCCACATATGTGCTCAGCTCTAGCTCTTCACAAGAAGTGCTAGAATTGAAATTTTGGATTTATTCAAAGAATCTGCTTTTTATAGTATTGTTACCATATTTTTGATGTATGCCACATAAATCTCAGACATTTTTTTTAAAATCTCTCTCTCTTCACTTGCGATGCAAACAATTTCGTATTTGTTAAGCACAAGGTACAAATTATGAAGTGCATTTTAATTGAAACTCACTGTTTGAAAAGCTGTAGAATCTTATGTTAACTAACCAGTTATGATTTTGATCTTTACTATAACTTCTTCTTTCCCCATTCCTCACCAAAATGCAAATTAGTTTTGAGAGTATTTATGCTGAGGGTTTAAATCTTAAAGAGCTTCTGGTACTCATGTTTGCTGTTAGTTTTTTGCCAGCTTAATTTGAAATTTGAAAGTGATATTCCATTTTTGCATTCTTGCCAGCTGATTCTTTTAACTTGGGTAAAATAACCGTGTCAGCTTATTCTAAGAGTTATGCTTTGTCTATAGTACAAGTTGTGCCATGTTTAATTCAAATTAAATTTAAAAAGTTATTCCTTCCTTAGTACTTTGTGATGGTGAAGCAATAACTCACTATCTTGTCTAGCAGGGTTTCCAGATCAATCAAAACCCTACAAAGCTGACAATAAATAAATCCTTTACACATGTTAATCATACAGTCAGAACTAATATTAAAAGACATAAAGTTATATATGTGCAAATAATCCAAATTTTATTAAAACTAGAAAAGGGAAAATGGAAACTAACCTGACAACCATAGAAAACCGAACAAAATTCACTCATCTATGCAATTTTAGTTCTGGAAGAGAGTGGATTATCAGAATTATGTATATTATAAATGTTTTATCATCTGAAAAGTTCTGTCGTTTTCCAAATCGAAGCATTTCCCCCCCCCTAATTATTTTGTTACTGCTGATCAACTGACCTAAAAATTTGAAAATTCATGATCTATGATTACTATAAAAAAGAATTATGCAGGAAATATTAAATAACTAAAATAATTAAATAAATAGTTTTACCTAATTTATACATCTTATAATTATATTAAATTTTTGTTAAAAGTGTATTTGTACATTTATGTTAGGAAAAAATTACTGCTAAATTTACCATTCCGAATTTTCTGATAAACACAAATTTTATTTATTTACATCAAAAAATTAGCAAAGAGTGCCAGAATTCTACTGTATTATGATCTAATGATGAGAGTAAGCCCACTATTTGGAATTATCCTTTTTCTGTTATTTTATAATGTAGAAGACGTACTTAAATTTTTTAAAAAATTCTTTAAAACAAAATTGTTTGCTTAATGAAAGTAAAGCATTTACTACAATAAGATCACTTTTAATGAATCTTTAACAATTCCAGCATTCAGCAGAGTTTCATTCTTTGCATCAAAAACACTGTATGCATTGAATTGTACTTTAGTTAAAGATTACATTTGTAAAAGGATGTAAAAATAAATGAATGTCTGCAATATTTTATTCTGAATGAGCTGTGCCTCACTTAATTCATTAAATCAATTACCTAGTCTGAAACATCACAAAAGTAGCAATTTGTTTAAAATGATTGAATGAAAAATGCATTAAGAAATTATACTTGTTACTTTTTTTAGATACCTTATTATTTAAAAAAAAAGGACTGCAATTCAAAACAAATATATAAATAAATATTTTTTCCTTATTACCTATTTTGTTAATCAATGACATTTTCCAGTACAAAAAAAAAAAAATATATTGCAATGTGAAATGATATTTTTATTAATAAGCTTAGTAATATGATTAAATATTTATATGATGATTAACATAATTATTCAAATATGCCAATAAGTTTTATATACCTTGAAAAAAGAAAAATCAAATGGCAGAATTTTGTAATTAAATTTCTCTTTTTTTATTATTATTATTATTATATTATTATTATTATTATTATTATTTATTTTACACTTTCCTAATCAAATGAAGCTGCTTTTGAAAATTAGCATAATGTTTGACTGCAATTGTTTTAGATACTTAGTGCATTTAATTTAATGAACATCTGAAAAAGATATAACAGTAATTTAATGATTACAATTAAAAACAGTTAGCTTATAATAGTAAAAATTTAAAACATATTACAAAGAGCCATATTTAAAGGAAATCAAAGATTAATTTGCAATTCAAAACATTTAGTATTTACAAATATGATAGACACTTACAGCAACTATACCACCCATAGTTCCAACAGCATACATACAAAAGTCTAAAAGTTGCTGTGGTGCTTCTACTTGCATATTATAGGCTAATGCCACTGTTTTATTCAGAAGACGAATAATTTCTTCCTAAAATTAAATAAGAATAAATTAAATAAGGACTAATTAATAAATTAACTTCATGAAAAAACAACATAATTTCAATCGATTAAGGTACACAAAAATAATATACAAAATAGTTTTACAAATATGAACATAAAAGGAAGAAATTTCTATGATTCACAATAAGTAAATGAGACATAGGATAATCAAACATTATTTTAATGTTTAATTATACTATTATTTAATTGTTCAATATTATTTTAATTATTAATTTAAACATTATTATTTCCCCTAAATAAAAGTATATTATATGTACAATGGTTTATTATGACTATGCACAATTTACATGCAACTGATAAAGAAAATGATTTTTTTTTTTTTTTTTTTTTTTTTTGTTGTTGTTGTTGTTGTTGTTGTTCTCCTTTGCCTTTTCTTCTTCTTTCCCCTTCCAGTCTAATGATAATATAATGACCTAATTTTTAATTGGACTGCAGTGGGTAGTTGCCACAACAAACGATGCTAAGAAGTTATGGTTATTGACAAAATCTTTTTGAGGAAAGATTTAACAATGACTATTATAAATATTAGAAAATGTCCTTCCTCACATTTCGTATTTTAACTATTTAAAGAACATAAATTAGGCAACCTAGACTCTTTCTCTCAACCATGTGATTTTATATGTACAGTTAAAAATAATAATCCAGTTTTTCTTCTAACCTATCACATGAACTATTCTTGCATCCATGCAACAGGTAGTTGACACAGTCTTGAGTTTGCTAAACTGGAAGCTCATTTCTCATAACTCCAAAAAGGGGGACAATTTCAATAGCTGTCACTGTCTTTGAATTCACTTCATATTCAATTTGTTACATCTAAAACATACTTTCAAAAATATCATGATGTATGTTCCCATAATGAGTATTTCATTAAACAGCCGAGTGGCATGACTGCCTTTATCCACTCATGAGATTGTTTGCTACTTGGTATATATTACCTTATCATTTTAAATATTTCTTTTTTATTTTCTTTTAAAACTTTAAATATTATCCTAATAAATGAAAGCTTATAAAAAAACAGATTAAATAATTCAATGTACATATTTAACAAGTCATTGCTGCTTAAATAGAGTTCTTTAGCAGATCCCAAAACCCTACTACTCAAAGAGTTAAAAGCTATACAATTAAAACAAAAGTTCTCCAAGAGGGGCAAGAATTTCACTCTCTCAGGAGGAATTTGAAAACTTTAGCTAGAAAAGGACTGCTATCAAACAGCAGCAAATGACTCATGACAAAGATAAGCTATGTCGTGACTGAAAACAAGGGATCCAGCACAGATTAAAAAAAAAAAATAGAAATAGGTTTGATTATAAGAATAACAGAATAAATAGAACAAATTAACGTATTATTATTTATATTTATTAAATATAATAAATTGTGCATATATAAATATGTATTAATTAAATATAAAAAATTCATAGATACCTATATACACTGCCCTCCAAAAGTTAGGGAACAGCATGTTTTTCAAAGCTTATCATTACAAAAATATCAGTAACATTTAAATTCACAGTTCATATGCATGACAGTAATGAAGTTTAAGAAAATATATGCAAAAACAATAGCTTTTACTTTTATTTTATAGAAATGAATACTTATATAGAAGTTGGAGAAAAAATGCAAAAATTGTAATTTTGTTCATGAGTGTTAATCTTCAGTTGCTATTACAGTTTCGTGGACAATACCCAGAAGAGTCTATCGATGTCCAGGGGAAGTCATTTGCCTGATTCGTTGAGGGTGGCAGGCAATTGGATGGATGGAAATGGTTATGTCATAAGCTGATGCTGCTGGATGTCTCAATGTCTCTTGTAGTGTGGTCCACTGACTATGGAATCGTTCTGAATGCAAGGATTCTGTGCCTAGAAGAAATGTTCTAGACAGACCTAGAATTACAACACCTGTGGGAGACTGTTATTCAGCTCTTTTGGCCCAAAGAAGGAGCAACATTACTGTGCCTCAGCACATGGCAGATCATTTAGTGGCAGCAGGAACAGGAATTTCAGCTACTACAGTGCACAGATACCTGCACAATGCAAGTCTGTATGCAAGACGACTAGTTATTTGTGTCCCTTTCACCAGAGAACACAGAGGGGCCCCGTTTATGTTGGGCAAGAGAACAAGTCTTTTGGACCAGTCAACAATGGGTGGCTGTTCTCTTCACAGATGAGTCTAGGTTCACACTGGAGAGTGATTCAAGTTGTTAGCTGATTTGGAGAGAACAATGCAACAAATACAACGAATCCCACATTGTGGAAAGACACAGTTACAGAGGTGGTGGAATAATGGTTTGGGCTAGGATCTCTCTCAGTGGTCACACTAACCTGCATATGTTCCATGGAGGAACTTTGACCAATGTGAGGTATCAAGACGAGATCCTTGATCAATATATGCTACTCATATGCCACTGCTATTGGTCCTGCATTTCTTCTGATGGATGACAATGCTCAACTGCACCGAGCTCGGGTTGCTGAAGAATATCCTGAGGGTAATGGTATGAAGCAGATGGAATAGCCAGATCAATCCTCAGACCTGAATCCGATACAGCATCTTTCGGACTACCTTGAGAGACAGGTTGCTTCTTTAAGTCCTCCTCCCAGGTCATTAGATGAGCTTGAACAAGGATTACTCCACGTCTGGTTGTTGCTTCCCATTTCACTGACCAACAACTTAATTGACAGCACGGAACGTCACTGCCACCAATGTATTGCAGCTAGGGGTGAAGACATTCCTTATTAGAACCCACTTTTGTAATGTTACCACCTGATTTTTCCTCAAGAAACTGTGATATTCTGTTTCTCCATGACTGGATTTCTCTACCAAGAAAGCAATTTTTTGTTTTAATTCGTGTTTGTGTTGAATTTTAAAAACATTCTATACTGCATTCATTAAAGAACTGTTTAGTGAACATGTCCTGTAAATTTCTTGTTTCTATGTTGCTTCATTCTCAAATTAGACACAAAAAACATGCTGTTCCTTAACTTTTGATGGGCAGTGTATAAACAGACACTCCCCATTCTATTAACTTTCACAGATACAAACAAACCTGTTTTCAAACAGTGAAATTTGTTAGAAGTCTTTAGTTACTTTACAGCACTTTTGGAAGGATTGCAATATTTATAATTGTATGCAGAACATCCACAATTCATGAGTGGGGATGTAAACATGAATGGTATTTGGAAAAGTATGTGCCCCTATCTTGTTCATGATTATCACAGTTTTAATCAAGATGACAAAAGGAAGTCCTTATGAATCTTGTTGACATTAACAGGCAACTTAATCTAAACCTGAAAGAGAAATATTTTGAAAAACTGCTACATGAAGAAGAATTGACTTATAATTGATGCATCTCAAAAAGAAGCATAGAGAGGAGGAGGGAGAATTTGGCATAGTTAAAAAGTTCAATACAAAGTTAATGACAGCAGCATTTTCCAAGTTCGAAGAAGGTCTCATTACTTTGGAAAACTAAGACCAAAATTCTGATAAGGCTGCAAGAGTAAAGTCTGCTGTACACAATACCATAGACTGTTATAGCCTTATTAATGATAAAAAAATTAAAACCTTTTCAGATAAGTTTACACACTTATTTTTTTAAGACTTCATAAATCTGTGTTACTGGTTCATCTAACATGCCAACTTCTTCCATCTCTCATACAGATTCCTTATCACAAGTCTCCTTTAATTGCTGATGAATCTTCAGAGGCTGAGTGAGTTGTTGATTCATCTTCACTCTTGTAAAGATCTGCCAGCCTCATCTTCACTTTAAAACATACCCCATAGACAACCACATAAAAAGTTATTATTTATTTACAGTTTTTTTTTATATTGAACTGTATTTAAAATTTAAAATATAGTTGTTCATAAGATGAGGGGGATTTGTATTTATTAAATACAACAAACCTTAAACTTATATGTAACTTTATAGTAAATTATCATCAAATACTCTGAAGTTTGTATCACTCATTTCAAATGCACTACTTGAATAAAAAAAAAAATTGGAGGAAAGGCACGACAATACTGTGAAAAGAAATAAATAGGACAATAAAGGTACTGGATTAAAAAATGTCATTAAAATAAGTAAATTCTCATTCACAGAGTAAGAATTTCAGTTTATAATAAGGCGCTTGATGTAATCATTTATTAACAAGAAAAGATATTTTGCATTTATTAAACATGATGCATAATAATTTATTAAAATGGCTACTCGCAATGCCTTTCTGATAGAAAAGAATAATGCAGCAGCTAAGTGACCAGTCTTTAGCAATGACAACAGAATGGCAGGAAGACCTAACTTATTGGAAGGTCTAATTTCATTTGTGAAATACTCATCAATTTTTTATTTTAATTGAGATGATACTTCAGACCTTTTATTTAATATAGAAGTTGTTTTATTGCACTGTCAATTCAAAACAATTTCATGCGTATGTTTATGAAATAAGAATATTTTAAAAACAGTTTTTTTAAACTATGAAATTTATTAGCTGTAAATGCAAGTAATATTACCCTTTTTAAAATGTAGATATATTTAAAAAACTTATTTTAGTCTAATGCAGAGCTTAAATTGGGTCAGAGCTCTAAATATGCACTTCTTCTGTGTAACTGAACAATTATTTCAGTAGAAATTTTATCTCAAAAATATTATTTTTAGCAATAAAATTATACAGTCAAAAATCGTTAATCCGGACTCGTCGGGACTTCGGCGATTCCGGATTATCAATTTTTCTGGATTATAGACCATCAGTTTAAATCTGGTAAGATGGCATGCAGAAATTATAAAATTAAAAATATGAAACCGTAATTTATGAAACAAAGAACATTTATGATCTAAAGGGTATCAAAATTCACAAAAAAAAAAGCTTCATATTTATTTGTTTACTTTATTAAACATTTCTTTCAATGTAAGTTGTTTAAGTTGCTTCATTTTATGTGATAATACTTTCTCTTTAATTCTATAAACAGACATAATTTCTTGTTCAGTTACAAAGTTCCGCTGTTCAAGTCCTATAATTGCTGTGTCGAGAATACCGACTAATTTGTCAACAGAAATTCGATAACCTCTGTGTCACTTTCTTCACTATCAGAAGCAAATTATAATGATGAGGAAGCATGCCGTGGCATATTCCCCCCCCCCACCGCTGCAGAGCAGCGTGAAATTGATAAACAGATTTCGGAATGGTTAGAGAAACAAAGGACATGCCTTTATCCATTTTTTGCAGCAATTCCACTTTTGTTTAATGGACTTTCGAAACATACTTTCGCTTTGTAGATCCTTTACATATTAGTAAATATATATTGGAAATTCTATTTGACATAATTGAAAGTTCAAGCTTACTTTTATAAAATTGCTCTAACAGTCTGCAAAAAATAATAAGCCGGATCCAATTCAAAGATTAAGGAACAACGCAATCTGCAACATTAAGTGAATTAGATAATTTTAGCTTAGCTTATACCATCCGTTATACATTAAACGCGCATGCGTAAACGTATTTTGCACATGCGCACACACATATTTGCAGCCATAAAGGTCTTACGCACATGCGTCACTGCGACACATGCGCAGAAAGTTTGTAGCTTTGAGGTCCGGATTATAGATCATTCCAGATTATGGGTGTCCGAATTAATGACTTTTGACTGTATTAAAAATCGCTTATTAAATTTTAATTTATCTCTCTATTTAATTTTAACGATTTAATTACTTTAATTTTCAATTATTTTAATAAATAATAATAAATTAATTATAAAATAACTAATAATTAATAAAGATTAATTATTTAATTGGATACTCAATAACTGTTTAATTTTAAAATTATTCATGATTTTAATAGCCATTTTATTTACTTAGTTACTTTTGTTCCTCTTTCCTGATGGTCTTCCATTGGGCTCCGGCACTTCTACTTTTCGAAATTAAGCTCTGGTCTAATGATATAAAAGAAAGTTATTATTTAAACACATTTGTTAATAAAAAGTTAAATAAAAAATATTCACCATTCCTTCATTATCAATTCCATTTCCTTCACCAGCAATTGCTGTAAGAGCACTACCAATTTGTTCTAGATGACCTAGAGTATCAGTGTTCATAACACTACCAACAGATCGAACCATTTTCAAACGTGTTTGGGCTTTCTGCTCAGCCTCTTTGTCCAACAAACCAGGATCAGCTGCCAAAGCATAACATAAATTAGCTGACACTGAGACATCTGCATTTAAATTAAATTTTAGAAAGTTTTGCAAGATAAAGATTTATACTAAATCAATGTGTGAAATATTTCACATAATAAATAATACTGAAAAAACTTCAATAAAGCAACTAAACATCCAGATATGCCAGATAATTTAAAATAGATTTAGCTACAAAAAAGTACACTTGAAAAGGAAGTGTGTTAGCTAAATGTTTTGAAAAATATTAGCTGGAAGATAAAAAGAGAACAAGCAAATTTTGTAAACTTGTACCAAAGAAAATAAATAGCACACATGTTGATCAAAAGTAGTATCTGCATACATTCTGACAATGTCAAAACCAAAATGACTTTCTCTTTATACTCACTTATGTCGTTTAATAAATGTCTGATCAAGTATATAGAATAATATACATTTTGCAAATATTTTATTGTATTTATCTTTAGAAAAGTAAAAATTAAGCATGATAATAAGGATGAATATTGCAGCATAACCGTAAATTCAGTTTTTATTGATTATAATAATATATAATAATTCAGTATATATAATTCATTTATATATATACACATATACCTACATATTACATCTAATTAATAAAATATGAAGCAATGAATATTCCTTCACATTTTAATTTATCAAATATTCTACTTAAAAAATTGCAAGAATATTCTGTGGTATTTTATGTAGGTAATTTATCCACATACCTTGAACTAAATCAAGAATTATTGCATTTTAAATAAATCACATTATTGTAAATTTGAATATAAAATAGAACAATTATACTCACAATTGCTTTGTTTTATGAAAATTGAAAGATGTGAATTGCATCAAAAGTCCCTACATAACATAATTCTGGTCAAAAAATTTGATTTGGCACCACTGAAAAACTATGAATGAACTTCATAGTATAATAAAAACTGTAGTTAATAATAAAAGGTATAATAAAAACTGTAGCTACACAAAATTCTTCAGTGCAACATTTAATATTCCAATAATATTGAAATCAGCCCTGATGAATGCATAAAAAGTACACCCAAACTGTCAAAATGTTGAATCACCTACATGTGATTAAGGCAATGTTGTTTGTGCATTACCTTATTTCATCCCTGGCTGATGTTTACGTATGCATAGACAACATAACTATGTTGTAGAATATTCTGTCATTCCAAAGTGTATGAAGCTATAGTGAACTTTCTCAACAATTTATTTTTCAATTTTATTAATTGATTAAATTTATCAAATATTCATTCTTTGGGGTGCAAAAAATAATAAAAAAAAAACCACTTTTCTGGCATACATGGAACATCCAATGTTCAATGCAGATTTTAATTCTTAAATTAAATATGTTTAAGAAATACCAGCTAAAACAGTCATGTTTTAAAATTTTAGAAGACATATATATTTTTATATCATTAATTATCTTGTTACATAAGAGGAAAGATCCCAAAATTTTTCGAAATGTTGAAGAGCATGTTCTACTTCTCTTGCATGCTAACTTCTCTTAGTATTAAAAAATATATAATAATAATAAAAAAAAATAAAACTGAAGCATTACCTTTATTGACCAAAGACATAATTAGTGGAGAAGAATTTTAATAAATACTAAATTTTATTTCCTAGTCAAAGATTATTTTTAACATTTGTACAGTAATAAAATAGCATATTACAGTAAGAAATAATATTTAACTAGCCAAAAAAACGTCAGTTATAAACTATAGATAATTTATACATCAGTAATAAATTTACATCACTAATTGAAAATTGAATACATATTTTAAAATGTTTCTAATATAGGAGTAATTTAATAAGTATAAATAGAGAAAAGATAAATAAAGTAAGAAAAAGCTATAAAATATGATTTTTAAGAAATATTAACACAGATTAAAAATGTATTATAAATTTAAAATATAACTGCTAGAAATCTTTAAACATTTTAGCAAAAGTATTTTGTTTAACCCCTAAAAAGCAGAATATCATACTTGTTGTTGCTTCTTCATAAGTACTATTCTCATCCAGTGGGAGTCGAACATTCATAAGAGATGATAAAGCCTGCGATACTTGATTCATCCGAGCTTGGTCACCTGAAGCTTCTACTTGTTCAAGCTGTCTGTTGTTTATAAAATTATCATAATCTTGCTTGAAAGGAGGCTCCAACTATAAAGATTAATATTAAATCTGTCAGAAGAAACTACATAAAATTACTTATAAGAGATTTATTTATAAAAATGACTCATATTTATTGATTAAAAAAGGAACAGGTCTGAAAATTTTTAAAAACAAAAAGAATTAACAAATGTAAAATTGTTCAGTTTCTGATGTCTTATACTAAAAAATAATATTTGCCATGTGAGTTAAATAATCATTAAATTTGACTAAACTGTATTTCAAGGCAATGGAATAATTAACATGTAGCAATGAAAAGAAAAAATAAATAAGTTCCAACACTCAAAAATCTTATCAACACAAAATCTTCTCTTTTTTTTTCTTTAAAAGACTTACTAGCCAGTACAAATAGTATTATCACAAAGCCATTAGAGATTCTGATAATCAGAGAAATTTAATACAAGAGACTGTAAATGAATTAAAATAAATAAAAAGAAGGCTGAAGCTTATGTAAAGACTAATGGATAAATATTAATGCTGTCTGTCAGCTTCACAAGTTTTCTACAGTTGTTGTCAGCTTATTTTGTATTTACTGTCTTTAATGCACTTATCCCTCAAAATTCAGTTTTTTTTTTTTTTTCTTTTAAACCTATTTCTAAAAGGCTAATTCTTAAGGCTGCAATTCTAGTTCTATCAGAATTCATTTGCTTAAGATACTCGAACAAATAATGTTTTCTAATTATAATTAAAAAGGACATACTTGGGTTCATCAAAGTACTCAGGAATGCATATTTTTGCATTCTACTGAATAAACCCAAAATAAAATTTTATTAAAAAGCAGTTGACCTACATGACAAGCAGCCTTCGTGCCTAATTAAGCTACTGCATTTTATTCTTGTTATATACATCAAATAAATTATATCAATATACATGTATTTTCCAATGTGGTTTTAATTTTGTACACAAAACAAACAACTTAAAACAAAAGCTGAATAATATTTCAGTTCAAGATTTTCAGAGAAACAATCAAAAACCATATAATGATTCAATACCAAGTTCAAAATTTTAAATCTAGAAAATTACTATTTCAAGGAAAATAGGTTTATAGATTTGATACATTTGATACACATACAATATTCAGAAAAATATAGTTATGGGTTCTATATGATGTTTAAATGACAAAATATATACTTTTCTCTTTTAGCATAGTTTAAAAATTTTAAAAAATACACTAAATATTTTTAATGAAAACAGCAATATATATGGTTTTGGTATACAGCTAATGCCTTTTTAATACAGCAGTTAAATTGAAGTGTTACATTTTACTGGCTAAGCTGAACTAAAAGGGCGAAAATAAAAGAATGAAACAACACAAACAAAAATTAATTTAAAATTACCATCATTGTAGTGATATTTATTCTTGCTAAAGCCCCTTCTTTATCTTTGATATCAACTCCTAACTCAAACAATCCATAAGGCAGTACAAGCTGAGCTTCCCCATCAGGACCAGCACTAAGATATATTAAAGCACCAGTATCATTTTGAATGGCTGAAAATTAAAAGTTATGCATTAAATAAGTATGTAAAATTAAACACATTTCTAATAAATAACATAAATAATTCAAACTATATTTGAGATTTTTTTCTTTTAAAACAAAAGCAATTAAAAATTTTAAATGTAATAAATAGAATATTTTTAATAAATAAGAGTTTTCATATAAAAGATGTCTGAAACTGGAGGCTACAGGTTTCGTTTCCATAAATAAACATCTTAGATACTTAAATCCAATTTCAAAGTGCCTCTAAATAGAGAATTTTATGAGAACAGAATTAGTGCAATGAATTTTTAAAATACAAAATTTAACTTTTTGCAGTTTCCTTAGAATATAAAGCCCAATTGGTACAATATTCCTTATGCTTTAATAAACAAAATACAAAAAAGATTTTCACTTACTTCATATGCAAAATTTGTAAATGTATATTACAAAACAAATTTTCTCATTTATTCATGGCATATTTTTTAACCAAATTAAATATTCACTACACAAATCCCTAAATTTTCTTTCATCTTAAAAGAATAATGAGGAAATAAAAACAACTCATTGATTTTGTCAATTGATGACTTCGTATTAAGAAAAGGAAAACACACACACAAGCTTTTATTCTTGCAACTGGTATGGAGAAAATATTCAGTACTGAATCCCACTGAATTTTGCATATAATATCTAATTTAATTCAAAACTACACTTTATGAATTACATTCAAATGGTTCTAATCAAGAGATCCAAATACATAATTCAAAACCTTGAATGTTTCAAAGAAACAAGGAGACTTATAAGATGCAGTCCTATTTTATGCAATATATAATGTCTTTTATATATATATATATATTTAATACATCTAAACATTATGGTCTTGTAAACTTTTTCAGGAATAATGGAAAATTCATTTCTAATGGAAAACAATTTTTAACAAATCTCATTCATATGAGTTATTTGTATGCAGTTCAACTTTGGTAGGATGTATCCAGCAAAATATTTAAAGCAGTAAAGTATTATAATTAAAATTTCTTCAAATTTGTGTAAACAAAATACAATTATATAAATTTATAATAATTTCACTTACAGTGCTGTTATATTATTTTTTGCATGCTGTCTTGCATGCAAATAAATAATGCACAATAATTACTAATGTTGTTCTTATCCTGTCTCTTTACAGATGAAATATTTCTGAATATTTACTGCAAAATTGAGACAAATTTTTGGTTTTTAATTTTTCTTCTTTTTTTAATTTCTTTTGTGGCAATCTGATGTTCGACTGCGTCCGCAGCCAATCCACATCATGTGGTTTACGTAAAAACTGCTAGCATGGAAGAGAACTCGACTACTTCGCCCTTAGCTCAAACGTAGGATGCATGAATTTTAGTTTAGTAGTTTTCTGTTCTGTTATTTCGTTATGTTGATAGCTGATATTATGATAGTTGTGTTTAAAATTATGGTGTGGGTGAATAAAGTTATGTTTAACAAAATGGAGTCAAAGGATATACACCAAGCCATAACCACCACGCACCATATAATGGTGACCCAGCTACTTGTATAAAGCTGCATTCCGGTTGTTCGTTCAGGAAGCTTGGTTCCAAGACTTTCGTGTTTTTCTCTTCAGCCACTGACATGGAGGAAATAGCAGCCGTCGAGATACCAATTTACAATCCTATTGACCCAGCATTGTGGTTTGCTATGTGCAAATCAACTTTTGCTTTAGCCACACCCAAGCCTGTTACGGAGCTGAAGATGAAATTCAACTACTTCGTTGCTCATTTGTTGCCAGAAATTGCTTCGTTGGTTCAAGATATCATACTCCAGGAATGGACAGATTCATTTTACAAAGACTTCAAAGATGCCATTATGGAATGCTGTGGCAAAAGCAGTACCAGTGAAGTCTGGAAATTACTCGCTGGTGAGCAATTTGGAGACAGGAAGCCATCAGAGCAGCAAAGTTTTTTCACCTGTCAATGTATCTGAGAATTCTTAATTGGATTCCCTGCTGGAGGAGGTCAGCAAATTGCATAGTGAGGTTTTGTCTCTATGATGATCACGCAGTGTTTTCAAAATCGCTATAAAAGGAAGTGAAGCCCTTCAGCTAAAGCTGCTTCGAATAGTACTTATTGCTGGTATTATTGCAAATTTAATGACAAAGCTTAAACGTGTATTCCACCATGTACGTTCCAGGGAAACGAACCAGGAGAAGTGTAGTGGTGACTTGCGCTTTACTCTCTGAGTCTTGTCGCCTTTTCATTAGAGACACAAAATGAAATAGAATATTTTTGTGCGACACTGGCTCAGATGTCAGTTTTTTTTCAGCAACCAAACAGGAAGTGCGTCAAACACCTATCATGACGTTTTCTGCAGCCAACGGTACTCCTATTCCGGTTTATGGACAAAAATCTCTAAGTATTGAACTTGGAGTTCGATGCAATTTTAATTTTACTTTTTATGTGGTAAAGTGTCAACAAATATTACTGGATCTGATTTTTTGCATTACTTTGATTTATTACCTGATTTAAGGAATAAAAAGCTTGTTGATTTAAAAATGCATTTAAAAATTAATTGCAATGTAATTAAGACACATTGTATTCTGTTAAAACAATTATTACTATTTGTGTTTATGATAAATTACTGTTTAACTATCCTTCACTGTCGAAGCTTCCTGATCTTAATGAGGCTGTTAAGCACAATACTATGCATTTCATTAAAACTATTGGTTCTCCTGTTTCATATAAGCCCAAGAGACTAGTTCCAGATAGATTAAAAACTGTTAAGCATGAAATTCAGAAAATGATCAATTTAGGTCACATGTGACGCTCCAAAAGTAATTACTCCTCTCCTCTTCACATGGTGTCAGAGAAAGGCACAAACGAATGGAGACCTGTGGGAGATTTTCGGAGGTTAAACGCTCAGACAGTGAAGGATAAGTATCATATTCCCACATTTGTGATTTTGCAGCAGAGTTGCATGGAACAAATGTGTTTTCTTGATTAGATTTGATAAAAGCCTATCATCAAATACCAATTAATCCCTCTGATATTCATAAAACGGCTATTGCCACTCCTTTCAGACTTTTTGAGAGCACGAGAATGCAATTTGGGCTATGCAACGCAGCTGCAACCTTTCAACGCTTTATTGATGAAGTAACTCGCGAGCTGTCAGGAGCATTTGCTCTTGACAATGATATATTGATTGCATCAAAGGACGAAACTGAGCATTTGATACACTTGAAAACTCTTTTTGAAAGTTTAAGTAATTATGGGTTAAGAATTAATGTGTCTAAATGCAATTTTGGTTTAACATCTTTGAAGTTTTTGGGTTTTCATGTATCTGAACAGGGTTTAAAACCTTTACCCAACAGGGTAGAATCCATTAAAAATTTCCTAAGCCAAACACTTAGTTAAGGAAATTTCTTGGTATATTTCATTCTTACAAACGTTTTGTCCCAAGAGCTTCACATGTTTTAGCTCCCTTGAATAGGTTATTGAAAGGCCGCATTAATAAAAGGAAACCTTCACAACCAAGCAAAACAAAAGAATATTCTCTCGAATGGGATGACAAAGCCGAGAAAATATTCGAAAATGCAAAAAAAGGCAATTGCTGAGGCAACCCTTCTCAGACACCCGATTCCTGCTGCAACCTTGAAACTTTGTACTGATGCATCGGACATTGCAGTTGGTAGCTCATTAATGCAATTGCATAATTAAGTTTGGGAACCAATTGCGTTTTTACCGTTAAACTCAGCAAAGGAAGTCAAAGGAAATGGTCAACTTATGATCGAAAACTATTTGTCTAGTAGGAAGTTTCGGCACATGCTTGAAGGCAGGGCCTTTACAATCTACACTGAAAAAAAGCCCTTAATATATGCTTTTAAGCAGAAGCCTGAAAAGCATTCTCCACAACAACTTCGTCATCTTGATTTTATAAGCCAATTTTCCACTGACATACGATACATTAAAGGTTGTGATAATATTGTTGTATATATAATAATTGTATGTATATGTAATATGATGAGTTATCTATGATAGAAATAGATGCAATATCTGATAATCAACACATTGATTATAAAAAGTTATCTTAAACACAAATTCAGGACTCTGAATTTCCAAAATTCTTTATCTCACTCTTCACCAGTTTTTAAACTAGAGAAACATTATTTTCCTCTAGAAGATGTTACTTTTTACTGTAATATGGACACAGGGATACCTCACTCGTTCATTCCTGAATCTTTTCACTCTAAAATTTTTCAGCAGATTCACAGTCTTTCTCATGCCGTTTTTTCAACTTCAACAAAACTAATTACTAAGCGCTATTTTTGACCTAATTTGAAGAAATTTATTAAAACTGCACTTCAATGATGTCTACAGTGCCAACGTTCTAAAATTCATAGACATTTGAAATCACTTCTGGGTACCTTTCCCTTGCTTGATACAAGATTTGCACACATCCATACTGATTTCATAGGTCTTCTTCCACCATCTGAAGGTAGCCGTTATTGCATGGCAATTATTGACAGGTTTACCAGATGGCCGGAAGTTATATCTACTGCCGATATGTCATCTCAGACGACTTGCAAAGTGTTAGTGCACAACTGGATATCTAGATTTGGCTGCCCGGTATCAATAACAACTAATCAAGGCCAAAATTTTGAAACTCACTTATTTAAGGATTTAATGAAGATTTTGGGTACTCATCACGTTAGAACTATTGCTTATCATCCTCAGTCCAATAGGTTGATTGAGAGATTTCATAGGCAACTTAAAAGTTCAATAATGGCTCATAACTACCCAAAATGGAGTGAAATTCTACCTTCAGTTCTGTTGGGTATCAAATCTGCCATTAAGAAGGATATAAAAGTTACTTCTGCAGAACTGGTCTACAGTACCACACTTGGATTACCCTCAGATATGCTGAATACTACTAATTTCGTATCTCCTTCTGAATCTTATGTATCACAGCTTCGATCAGTGAAGCATTTAGTTAGACCTATTCCAACCTCTAGACATGTTCAACTGTCAATTTATATACACCCGGCACTTCAAACCTGTTCTCATGTATTTCTGCATGTCGATTCTGTTAAACGGCCACTAACTCCACCTTCACTGTTCCTCGTGCTGTTGTTAAACGAATGGACAGAAATTTTATTATTGAGGTAAATAACAAAAAGATTACAGTTTCAATAGCTTGTTTAAAACAAGCATATACGTTGTCAGAACGTATAAATTCACCTGTAATTCCTCAATTTCCACAGGAAGTCTGTGAAGACTCAAAAACTGTTCCAAAATAAGTAGTTACCCGCAGTGAACATCGTATTCGTTTTCCTGAAAACTAATCACTGTAATATGATTGTAGTTTTCTACTGTGGTTTACTCAAATGTCATAAATACTTAATATAAATAGTATAACTGTTATATAATATAAATAGTATAACTGTTATTCGAATCTGCATATCTTAAACTGAAAACTTGCAGCCAACCCCTTTTGTGTGTCAAAACTGTGTCACTGGGAGGGAGATACTCTGTGGCAATCTGATGTTCGACTGCATGCACAGCCAATCCTCATCATGTGGTAAACTGCTAGCGTGGCAGAGAACTCGCCAACTTCGCCCTTACTTCGAGCGTAGGCTGTACGAATTTTAGTTTAGTAGTTTTCTGTTCTGTTATTTCGTTATGTTATGATAGTTGTGTTTAAAATTATGGTGTGAGTGAATAAAGTTATGTTTAATGAAATGAAGTCATGTCTTTAAAGGATATACACCGAACCATAACCACCTACACCATACTTTGTTAATTTATTAGGCCTTGACTGTCATATTTTGAAAAATCAAATCTAAAATCATCATTTTTTAGATCTAGTATAAAACTTAATTTTTAATTTTAAAATGAGGCAATTTTTTTAAATCTTCAAATTTAAAAATATCGTATTCTCATAACTGCCAACCTTGAAACATGAAAATGTGGATAACTTTCATGGCTCAAACTGGGAGTTTCTGGGAGGGCTTCACAGTGTGACACCACCATGCATAATTCTGGGTATTCAGCCACATAGGTAGCATATGATTCTGACATAAAATATAACAACATTTAACTAGATATTCTAAATTTTATGCTCTTGTGTCAATTTCTTTTTTGCACTTTTATTACACTCTTTACACTCAGAAAATCCAAAGTAAAGAAGGAAAACTTTAATTTAACAAAGTACTTCTAAACAAGATTAAAATAAACTTATGTATGTAATTTATGTATATGTATGTAATTTATGTATATACTACTTGAGCATAAATTTAGTAATGTTGCATCCACTGGTGTAAAAAAATTAGATATTTATATTTATCAATTAAACATCAGTCAGATCTTCATATAAAGCTCTACAAATGTCTACAGTAGAGACACAATAATATGTAATAAGACAATATAGACTACATAGGTAAAATAAAATTTAATAAGAAAAATTATGCTGAAAAGCACTAGGGTGGGGAAATGAATTTGCACAATTTAAGTTTCATTCATTCAATAAATTATATTTCTTGCTGAAAAGAAAATATGAAATTGCCAAAAAGAGAATTTCCTTATGAAAGACTAAACATTAAAAATTGGATAATTCAGTGATCTGCTGGAAGAAGTGAAGAAAAACTGGGAAAATTGGCAGCTGTGCATAGAAAAAAATTTTCTTTTTCATACGCATGCATATTAGTTCTACATAAATTAGACCAATCATCATTTTATAAAATTAGATATTTATGAAATGTCCCATTAAAATTAGTCAAAATTCACCTTTAATTCATTTTTAGATTAGTACTGATTTTTAATAAAGTTTCTATGTTTTTCTTGTATTTCCTAACTTTATTCTTAATTTTTGCTTTTACCTTAAATTATTTAACTTTTCAATAATTATTTATCTTTCTCGCTATTTTCAACTAATAGTTGATAATTCCATATATCAACTAATCAACAGCTGCTATTTGGAAATTCTCAATCAGGTTTCTTCTTCGCGTTATATCTAAATGTAACTTTACAGAAGAGTTTAAAATGTGTTTTCTTAATCCAAAACATATTGATTAATATCATATCGGAATTTTACATAGTTTTTAGTCATTTAAATGTCAAAAATTTGTACATACTTTATATATTTAAAAGAATTTTATACTATAAGTACTTACTCCAAAATGCAAAATGTTCTATATCTTTTCCTTCAGGATCTGCCCACCCGAGGCAACTAACACTAAACACGTCAATCAATGCTCTACCAGTTTCTGGCAAAATAGTACAATTACCACCTTCAGGAGGTTGATTTATATGCAGAAAGAGATCTGATTCACCACGAAGTCCATACTCATTTTCTGCTATTAGCTTGGCAATGAAATCACCATAAGTTGGGTAATATTCCTTGAAAAAATCTTCACTTAGAGCCATCTTCTTTTCAGTAGCACCTTGATATAAAATATTTTTAGTATAAGCATTTAAAAAATCTTAAGGAAACAAAGGTTTTTCATATCTATTTTCTATCTCTTTAATTATTTCACATATGAGATAATTAATTAGCACATTTAATAACAATCAGTATCTCATTTGATAAAACTCTCCTCATCCCAAATATCACTAATTTCATGCAGAAGCTAAATTTTTCCAAAACACTAATACACAAGTGTAACAATTACAGAATTTATACTTAAGTACTTTTACTACTTAAATACTACTTAAATACACTTGCATCAATTTATGCTCAGTTTGAGAGATTTATTCTATGTATTAACTATTTAAAACACATAAACAATTCAGATAATCAAATGACATGTTTAAATGACAAAAACGTACATTTTACAAAATTAACCCTTTTTTGTGATCACTCATAGCACACTTCACCATTTGCTTAAAGACATATCAGATGCCCATCCTTCTACAACAAGGGACAGGAACAACCATTTTTGCCATTACTTGTAAATTTGAGATTGGAAAATTTCTCTGATACTGTAATCATAACATCTTCCTGTTATTGCATCAAATTCCTCTTTTCTGTAATCATAACAGTAACAATATCTCCTGTTACTGCATCACTAAGATAAATAAAATATTAATTGAATGTTACATTATTTTATGTCACATTCAATTAGCATTTTATTTACTAACAATAATTAATATTACATTATATATATCTTGGGAAACAGCATATTTTCTTCAATTAATATCACTTAATTTTTTTAAACCGTGAAAATATTTTACATTAATTTTAAAATGTTCTAGTATGCAAATATTATATATTTACACAAAATATATAACAGCCTTTTTAATCATTATAACAACAATTTAAAACTTACTTTGTGTATGATAAATTTTAATCCTCTGAGTGGCGCAGGATTTTAGGTCCATTATGAAAACCAGCATTTAAACAGCATTTATTAATTAAGTTTTTATAATTATATATTTATGTTATTAAAGAAAAAAAGAAAGCAAAATATCTTAAATTATAGGCTAATAAATGCCAAGTAGCAAAACTTCTAATGACTGGATAAAGCAGGTCATAAAGCTCAGAGGGTTAAAGTAATGTATTGGGAGTAATGCAAACAAATATTATACACTTATACAAAACATATATTAACCTTTCTAATTATTATAACAACAATTTAAAACTTATTTTCCATATGATAAATTTTAAAGCAGCATATTGCAAACAATACAGTGTCACAGTCTTTGCAACATACTCTATTCTGTACTTTGCAATATAATTTATGGAACAGAAATTATCATTTCTGAGTTGTTGGAGTTGGTAAAAACCTTGAGAAGATATTTGACACTAATATCTAGCATATAAAAGATCTCTAATATTATCATCTGAAGAATCATAGCTAGAAAAATATATCTTCAGATGATTGGTTAGATTTTCAGCATATTAAAAATTATCATATCATAATCAGAACTACTAAAACAATCCAAAATATCAGAAAGGAAAAAAAAAAATACTTGGATGGCATAATAAACCAACCTATGTATTTCTAAAATATAATACAGAATCAGCAAAGTACCATCATATCTAGAACCCCCACACACAAGATTTAAAAAAAAAAAAAAAATGCCATTCAAATATGCAGTTTGAAGCACACGATGAAGCACACGATATCTAAGTCAGTTTGACAGCACACGATAAAAGACAGGAGAATTTAAGGAAACCTGAATCTATTTTGTTATGCTGCATAGAAGTGAAATCAATGAATGCGAGTTAGGCGCATTCCTTCCCAATGAAGCACAAAATTGTGGCAGAAACCTAGTTTGTTTGTGACATAAAAAGCCAAATTTGTTTTAACAAGCTGAACTCAGGTTAGTCACTTAAAGAGTTAAATACAATAGTATTTCAGAAATTAAAAAAATTGTTATGTTATTCATAATATTTTACTAATACCTGAAGAATATAAGGTAGCATATTTTACACCAGAAATTTTTTACGGTAATCTGAAACAAAATAAATATAGATTTGCTTACCAACAAGAAATTCTCCAGCTTCTGCTAAATATGTCTCATTACCTTCTGCATCTACACCAAAAACTTGCCATTCATATAAAAGCTCTGTATCACAACCTTCTTTGCATAAACCAATTAAGCCCACTCTGACAGGATTAATACGCTGACCAATTGGATCATTAGGATAGCATAGTTTCTCTGTTTGGCATCTAAATTGGGAATTAAATACATAAATATATATCAGAACAGTTGAAAACAGTATAAATTTCAAAAAACCTATTATTTGTTATTCATGTTATAGAAAAATTAATATACATCAGTACTTATTTAACTTTTAAACCCCCTTGAGCTAATCAATCAGCTGAAATATAAGGGAAGGGAAAGTAAATTATGCTGCTTTTCAAGCAATATAATTTATGTAAACTGTAGAGTAAATATGAAAACTATTTAACTTAGTCACATCAATTAAAAAACAAACAACACTTCCACATATGTTAAAGTTTACCTTGGTTCAGAATAATTTAAAAATATTTTCAGATTAAAAAAAACCATCTTGACAATTCTTCAAGTGAACAAATGCCTCATGGTATTCAGAAAAATACCTATTTGCAGGTAGCATTTAATAGAAAATATAATAACCTTCTCTTTCAACTGACAGCCACTAGAAAATATATTAGCATCAGCCATAACCTTCACAAAAGTTTGCAGCTCCATACATACAGATTTCACAGAGTTCAGTAGCATAAACATTATCTTGATTCCCTGGTGTTACATCTAGTTTATGAAATTCGTATGGTATAAAACCTTTTAGGTATGCAGATTAATTTATGCTTTAGTTTGGCATATTTTAATAACTAAATTCATGTTTGAATCTGTTCCTCAAAAGGTGCACTTTGAGATACATACAGAAATAATTAAATGCAGATCACTATGATTTTAATTTTTACTTTGATTGTAATATTAATTTTACATTTTAAAGTATTCATATCATAATTAATAAAACTTATTTAAAATATGTTATTTTAATAATCAAATAAATGCATTTTAACTAAAATCCTATTTATATATGCCATTAAACGAAAACTATCACTATTATATTTCCATATACTGTATTTTCTTGTATATTCTCCCCCCTGCCCAGCTATGAAGTGCTAGATTCTGGAAATTTTTTAATATTCACATGATTTTCCCTTTCCTCTAATGTACATAGTTTTCCCTCTGATGGTTAATTTACTGGTAAAATGTATTTTCTTGATTATTCTTATTTCTATTTAACGCACAGCTGCAAACCTTGAAATCTGAAAATATGGGTGAATTTTTGCATAAAAATCGGGAGAATCCAGAAGGTTTTTACGTTCACAATTATGCCATTTCAAATGTATTCTAAATATACTTCAATTCATTTTATAATGCATAACTCATGTTATTAATATTTTAATAATATGATTCTGATTTTAAAATAAATTAATATTTAATTAGGTATTCTAAATTTTAAGTTTTCAGCTAATTTTAACTTTTATACTGAGAAAATCCCGAGTAGGAAAGGAAAGTTTTCATTTATCAAAGTACTTTACAAATAATGAATTTAAAATTATTATTTAATATGCATAGTGTTTGAGTAGACAAATTTTATAATGTAACATATACTGAAATGAAAGAAAATCAAACACAAATATTAACTTATTCTTAACTTAAACATTGCTTGATTCTTCAAGTTCTACAGATGTCTACAGTAGATTAAGATAATTCAGCTCAAATAAATTTTTAATAAGAAAAATTTAACATGAAAACTTAATAAGAAATAGACATAGACTCCAAACTTCATCAAACCTTGTCAGTAGTCAATGCGCGAACGACATTTTTACAACTTTGAAAATGTGCGCGTAGCGTATGTTGTAATTAACCATTCATTAATTTTAAATTAATAATTAATTGTAATCAATTTTATTACATTTAAAATCCATATACATATAAAACTGAATAATCAAAAATATACCTTGAAAATTATATGCACATTTAATTAGAAATTTTCTTTTTTAACTCCTCAAGCATTCACTAATAAAAAGTACTTCAAATCACTACTAATCATAGAAAAAATCAGAAGCTATAAATCATATCTTTATTCTGGATATGATTTCTACAGGGAAATAAAATTTAAATAACCAAAATGATACATATAAGTATTAAACAAAATACGCATAATTTATGAATGCAAAGATTTATATGTAGCATGCTTAGCAAGCTTAAGTTCTGATTTTGAGAATGTTTTTTTATAACACAGTTCTTCTTCATTTGCCTGTATATTTATTTTTTCAATCAAAACTGCTTCAAGAGTTTTAAGACCTAAATTTGGTCGAAATTCCGTCTGATTTTTTTTAACAATAGAAAAAATTCTTTCGCAAGCTGCATTTGAATGAGGTATTATTAAGACAGCAAGCATTACAGAAGGCAATACTTTGTATTTAATACACCCATTCATATTTTTTAATTTGGCAATTTCTCCCCATGCTATATCAATACGCAAATCTACAATTTCTTTCAAATCATCTACTTGATACATGGAAAATTCAATTTCTACTTGATTAAGACATTTTTCATCAATAATGGATGGAAAAGTATTCATCAAGTAAAGAACAGATGAAAATGAGACTTCAGTTCTCAAGTTGATGTCAGCAACTTCAGCATGTTTTAGAAATGGATCACTCAGTGGAAATTTATCAATTATATATGAACATGCAGTTACAAAAAAATCTCGCACAGAATTGAAAAATGATTTCACTTCACTTCACTTTCATTCAACTTGGCATTTTTTAAATATAGTCTTGTTTCCGCACTAATCACTAAATTTTCATTTTCTTTTTGTTTACTATACTTCTGAAATGGAATAGACGTTAGAGTAACATCTTCATTTTCTTTAGAAATTACTGATGGTTTTACGAATCTAACAAATAAATTCATTAAAAGTTCAAAAAGTTCTCTTCTCAATTTATGTATATAAGGAGCTTGTTGTTGCAAATTAATATTTACTGTTATAAACAAAGGCAAAGTATTTTTCAAAAATAACAAGTACAATTTGGTGGTCGGTGACTGTAAAATTTTTTTAATGTTTTGCAATCTCTTTCCTTCATTCTCACTGTTATCTGGTTTATCTCCAAAAAAATTTATCATAGCATCCCACTGTTCCAAAATCCTTGTTATAGATTCTAAAAGAGACAACCATCTCGTACTGCAATATTTCAAAATTTTATGAGATTTTGCATTCTGTCCCAAAATTTGTTGAGCAACTTTGAAGCTATGCTTCCGTTTCGAACTTTTCTCCAAGTAAAAATATATATCTATTATCAACATTTCAATTTCTGAGCCAATTAATTTTTCAGTAGTTTTTTTTGCAGCTATATGCAAGAGGTGGCAAGGACAACCTCGGGTGATTATACTTGGTTGATGCATTTTGATAAATGATGCTACACCTTTAAACTTTCCAATCATATTACTAGCATTATCTGAAGAAAATGATAAGCAATTTTTCCATTCTATCTAAACCTTTGTTTTTAAAGTTTTCATTTATACAATTAAAAATACCTTCTCCTGTATTATTCATGCATTCTAAAATAGAAATCAATGAAGTAATTATCACTCCCTTTTCTTTACTGTAGTATGTTATAACCAATGGGTACAGTTTGTTATCATTGTTATCATTACTTCCATCAGTACTTAGAGAAAATGATGTACTGCACACTGATTTTATAATATCAGCAACAGTATATTCTGCAAGCGTTTTCACAATAGCAGCAGTTTTGGTATGACCGTAGCTAAATTTTTTTGCTATGGCAGAATCCGGAAACATTGCTTTGAAAAGCTCTTTGGAATGATCCGAAACAGAAAGCGGTAGATTATGTTCAATTAAAAAACGAACAAAATAGCATTCGGCTTTTATAGGATCTGTTTCATCATCTTTTATTAAGAAATTTGTTTATTCTTTAGATTTTACGGTGCCAAGTTCTATATGCTTTTGAGAAAACACATGCCGTTTACAGTCATCTTTTTTCCGCCATGAGCAACTGAGAAGTCTTTGTTGCATACACTGCAGTGTGCGTGATTCACAGAAATTTCGAACGCTTTAATGCATGGAAATTCTGAAGAATATGAATCTTTAAACTACTGCTTTGATAATTTTTGGCTTCTTCTTCGTTCGAGGCAGCATTATGATTAAAAATCTTTCACCTGATTCACAGTTCACAAGACACACGCTAAGCTCTCGCCGTAAACTACACAATGCAGCCGAATGCAGCCTAAACACGCATCAGCGAGGAACCTGGGAGACAGACAATTGGGTGGAACTATTGATAAGTCGTTAACAGTTGGAGTTACTGATCTACGATTGGCTAATTCTTCAAAACTAGGAACGCACTCAACACGTGATATACAATAACACGAGTATTCAGCCAATCATCGGATAAATTAGTTGGTTCTGTTTTGCGTACTGGTTCTCCTGCTCTTGTTTCTGTAAAATCCATAGTTTTTTCCATACTTTTCGTAGCTCGTAGTTTTTCATGAATTTCCGTAGAAACTACGGAGAATCCGTAGTAGTTGGAGTCTATGAATAGATTATAAAATCTGATAAGAAAAAATAATGCAATTCAGATAGAACAAAATTTAATAAGAAAAATTATTCTGTAATTCAGTAAGTTTGGGGGAATACAATTTGTACAATTTACATTTCATTAATTTAATATATTTCATTTATTGCAGGGAAACATTTTCCTTCATAACTTTCTACAGGAAAAGTTAAAAAACTAAACAGAAGATCTGATAATCTTTCGGATGACCAGGAAATGTATTAAAAAAATAGGAGTCTCCTGGTTCAGGAAATGTATTTAAAAAAAAAATGGTAGTCTCCTGGTTTTACCAGGAGAGTTGGCAGGTAAGTCAAGTGTATTCAGTTTGTATTTTCATTTTAGTATTAGCATGTCATCCATTTTATTTTCCCTTGCACTTATTATTTGAAGTGTATTTTGTGCAGATTCTTTGTCAAGCTTTCTGGACATGGCAAGCGGTCTCACATTTAAGAACTTTCCAAACATATGATGTTGCCTTACTTCTATTATTTATTTTCTAGTTCATTGTACCTTATCAAATGCTGATGTGTTTGATCTTTCAAAATCTGAGTCTTTTGCTCACCAGCCTTTTCCTTTCTTCCTCTGATGTCCCTCTTAGGAACTGCAGTTAAGATTTATTCATGTGAGGTGCCCCTAGGATATTACAAGGTAATTGAGCTGCACACATTGTGTCTCTGTGGGATGGTCTAGTTCAATTACCATCAGATATAACGTCAATAACTATTTAATTAATAATTTAACAGATATTTTAATGTTGATATTACCATTTATTTTTATTGGAATGTTGGTTTCTTTCAAAGAAATAATATTGCAATAGTTTATTCCTGACTACTGACAAGTAGTTTATCCCTGACTACATTTCATGCCTTATATTTTTACTGCAACTACTTTGTTTGGAAATTAAATTACTCATATAATTTTCCCCCTCTCAATTTTTAGACAGCAAAATTAGTCAAATTAAAGAGGAAAATACATGAGGAAATATGGTAATAAAATTTGAAGGCATGTTTTCAATCAGCATATTTTAAAAAACTTTACACATACTACATGTGAAATATCTCTATTTCAAAAGTAGTTTTGCTAGCTGATAAGCATAAGTTAAAATTTTCTTTTAACTATTGAATTAATATTTAAATAAAAACCTTCTTTATATCATTTTCAGTCCCTCATAATGATACAGAGAAATACCAAAGAATAACTTTTACAAAACTGTTAGCACAAAAACAATAAAATAATGTATCAGTACCTACTACATAAAATTACTAAATACAACAGGCGAGTAAAATAACAACATTTTTCTATATTTTCAATGTAATTAAAAAATTTTCAAGATCATTTGAAATTTCAATTAGACTTTTTTTTTTCAGAAAATATATTCTCAGTAAAATAAGGTTAACATATGAGTGATTAATGAAAATATTTAAACGATTTAATTAATTGAAAACATACTTATTATATCAAAAAGTTAAGTCTCTTTAACCAAAATAAGAATCTGAACTTACTCAACACTGATTACTGGAGGAATATGCTCCAAAAGAACAATCTGTAAGCCACCCCAACTTGGATCTCGATCAGACATCTCTATTTTGATGATAATTTCATAAGTAACATTTGATCTTCGAAAGACAGTCGTATTCCAGTTTACATAGCTTTCTGTTACATTAATCATACCTGTGAGGAAACATACATAAGAATTTAATGAAAATTAAAAACACACAAAATTGAATATCAAAGTTCCAGTTCTTATTGTAAATAAGAACTGAAACTTTTCATTTTTATCAATACCATTAGTTCTAAATACAAAAACAAAGTTTCTTTTAAAAAATTAAATACTTATATTTAGGACTGAAAAATGCAATAAAAATATTTAGAAAATGTATAATAAGATTATAGAAAACAAATCAGAACTATTTTTTACACCATTTAATGGAGAAATACTAAAAATAATTTTGGTCAGAAAAGAGTTACATCTAAAACTACGAATAACTGTGAGTAAAGGGGAAATAAAAAATTTTATTGAAATATTTTCATCTTTATGGCTCTTCTTAACATTAGTATTGCCATCAATATCTTCAATAAGTTATAATTAATCATGCTAATGTTATGATTCACTTCTGTTTGATTCTTTTTTTGGGGGGAGCCATGCAGCATTTTTTAATACACCAGCATTACCACCCCTAAAATTACTTTGCTTATAAACAGAAAAGAGCAGTAAATCATTTAACTATCCTAATTTAATACAATAACTAAAGCATAAATCAATCATATATTACATTTTAAGCACAATGTTTAATTTTAAGAAAAAAAATACGATTGTATTTAGCTGTAATTTACAACATTAGTAACTTCAAGGCATCTGTGCAGGCCAGATTCATGTGGATTATCAATAACATGTTAAAATTATGAAAAAATCTGCTTGTTTATTATCAGGTTTACTGAAGAAAGCACATAGAAACAGATTTTGTAGCCTTAAACATAGAATGACATTTTTTTATATACACTTTATTTTTATTTTTTTTTAACTTGAAGATACTTTTTAAGATATATATAGGCAGATTTACACATAAATATACAATGAAATCCTGACTTTTCATACACTGATTATGCTTTCAGATCATCTTTGTCTCATTCCCAAGGAAGTTCTAGATGCACAGATAATATACGAGGGCCATCCAGGAAGTAGATTACGTTTCCGTCTGTGTCCGCTAGGGGCGGGGCTAGCGCGGCCATCTTGGGGTCAGAGCGTTGCGCAGCTCAGTCTGCATCTAGCCATGCTAGTGAGAGGTTCGTGCTGTGCTCCGTTCAGATACTGTGACGGTTTGAAATGTCTGCGTTAATCCCGCGAGCTGCGAGGTGCGCTCAGTAATAAGGTTTCTGACTGCAAAAAACTGTAAACCGATAGAAATCTATCGGCAGCTTCGTGAAGTGTATGGGGACAACATTATCACTGAAGGTGGAGTGCGTCAGTGGGTCATAAGATTTCAAAATGGCCGAACCAATGTTCACGACGAAGATCGAAGTGGGAGACCCAGCATAGTGACCGCCGAACTTCTCGAAAAAGTCGATGCTAAAGTCCGTGAAAATCGAAATTTCACAATAACGGAACTTTCTTTGAGTTTTCCTTCCCCACAAATTTCGCGAAGTTTTTGTTGCACGAAATCATCAGCGAAAAGCTTGGTTACCACAAGTTTTTGTGCAAGATGGAAGGCAAGAAGAGGTAACGAAGTGGTTGAAGGCGCAGGCGGGCCGAATTTTTCGACGAAGGAATTTTCCAAGCTCATACATCGCTACGATAAATGCCTTAATTTGTATGGTGACTATGTAGAAAAAGTAGTATTTGAGTGTGGCTTTCATCTGTATATAATAAAATTTGTTTCCTATACTTTGTTTATTTTTTTATTCCAAAACGTAATCTACTTTCTGGATAGCCCTCGTATTAGGTTGTCCGGAAAATAATGCAGATTTTTAACCTATATCTTTAAAGTATCATAACTCAACTCAAAAGCAATTTTATTAATCAAAATAAGCACCAGCCGAATCAATGCATTTTTGCCAATGAGATATAAGTTTATTTATGCCAGTAGAATAAAATTCTGCAGTTCTGGACACGATAAAGTTGTCAAAGGCGTATTTGACCTCATCTTGATTTCTGAAGCATTTCTTCTGCAGAATGTTATCCAGATGTTTGAAAAAGTGGTAATCGGTCGGCGAGAGGTCAGGCGAATATGGGGGAAGAGAGAGAGTCTCGGATCCCAATTCGTTCAATTTTTGTAGGGTCAGTTGCACGACGTGCGGCGAGCATCGTCATGCAGAACTGGTCGCTTTCTGTTGATCAATGCCGAGCACATGTGTTGCAACTCTTGATGCCTTTTGTTCCTTTGCTGACAGTATTTATCTGCCGTAATCATTTTGCCCAGAATTAGGAAGCTGTGGATGAGACTGGCCACAGACCACCAAACAGTAACCATAATTTTCTTTTGGTGCAAATTTGACTTTGGAAAGCGTTGTGGTGTCTGACTGTGGTCCAACCACTGAACCGAATGTCGCCAGTTGTTAGAGAGAATCCACTTTTCATTGCATGTAACAATTCAATCAAGAAAAGGATTATTTTTGCTGCAGAGAAGAAGAGCAGACGACACTTTAAAATGGCGATTTTTTTTATTTTCAATCAATATGTGAGGCACCCAATTATCGAGCTTCTTTGACTTTCCTATACAATTCAAGTGATCAGAAATCACATTTTTGCTTACGGAAAGCTCTTGATTAGTTGTGCACGGGTTTGTTTCGACTTAAGTCTCCAAATCATAGTCATCGACAGCTGAAGAGCATCCACAATGCTCTTGATCTTCTTGGTCAAATTCTCCACAACGAATCTTTTGGTACCACCATTGAACTGTAGATTCATTAATACATTTCTCGCCCCATACTTCGTTGACATTTCAAGCCATTTATGCTGCGCTGTGACCTAGCTTGTACTCATAAAAGTAAATTTGCAGAAAATCCTGTTTTGACATCTAAACAAAAACACCTAGTAAAAATTTTAAAATAATTTTAGAACAAAATGATTATTATAGAAATATAAAGCAAAAACAGAGCTTCAAAATGATATATAAACCAATGTAATTCAAAATATTCTTGTTGCTAAAATGAACAGAAAAGATAAACAATTGCAAAAACCTGTATTATTTTCCAGACAACCTAATAAAAGGCCATGAAGAAAATGAAAAACTATTGATTAAGGGGAAGAACTCAAAATTCTTGAAAAAACTTCCTGATATTATAAAGGAAAAAGTAAATAGTTTTAGAGTTATTGAAATTACTTCTTGAAGAAAATCAACAGAATGAATGAAGAAAGAAAATTTATGATTTCTATAGGATTTTATCACACTAGCAGATCCTTGGAGTGATTCAAAAGAAACTTGCAGAAGAATGTAAAGAAGAAAATGACGGTGATAGAGTAAGAGTGCTTACATTGGAGAACTTAGCACAAGCTGTTAAACTATATGTATGAATAAATGGAATTTGAATTTAATAAAATCACAGCTTTGTGCAACATTTTTATAGCATTCTCAGAAAAAATATTTCTCCCTCTCTTCCATAATAACAGTAGCAAGTGAATATTTAAATAGGAATTATTGGTGAATGCAGCTGTAATTTACATTGTAGCATAAAAGTTTAAAGCCTACAGTCAAAATCTGACAAGCTTACAGTCAATTTCATGATATCTGTCATTTGTTTTGACACAATTTTTAATTTTTAGGTTAACTTAATTATTGTAAATTATAACTATTTTTCTAATTTCATCTGCTGATCAAAATCAATTGTTTTACTTCAGTTGAATATCAACCTATCGTAAAAGCAAGATAAAAAGATTGTTTTCTAGCAAAGATCGAATTGCAACAATACAGTTATTGACAGATTTAAAAAAAAAAAAAAAAAAAAAAAGAGAGAATTTGCTCAAAAGTTACTTTAACTGCAAAAAAATTTCAAGTGCAACAGAATGACCACATCAAAAATTTGAAAACATACTTCCGAAAATAATCCGAAATAAAAATTGTCAAGGTGAATCTTATGCTAATGTTGATTCTTTGGAAAAATAAAACTGTGGATGCAAATGCAAATATTGTAAAAAAGAACTTGAAAAATTTAATTTCCTTTTAGTAGAAAAGGTACCTTAAAAGCAGTAAATATAGCCTTAAATATATATATATAATATATATTTTTCAAAATACTGGATAATATATTTCCGTCACTTCTACAAGTTATCCTGAAAGCAAGGAAGAATGATAGCTTTAACAAATTTAAGCTCACACATGAAGGGAAAACAAAACTTCACAGCCAAAAGATTCCAGTCAACAAGTTTAAAATGCAATAACGGAATTATTGAAAAATCTAGAAACAGTCTGAGCATTCAAAATAATTTGGAGCAATATTTTTAATTTACTCTTTAATTTAATCTAAGTTTTTGGTAATAAATATTGCATTCTATATTTATTTTCTTTTGCTACTAATATTATAGGACAAATTAGATTCATCAGCTGCTACAATTGTTTGGGACAGAGGGAGTATACCAGTCGTTATTTAGAAAAAAAAAAATGTTTTACAGTACACTCCTGATTGACCGCGGAATTGACTGGCGCGGCCGCCGCGGATAATCCGGAAAAAGCTAAAAACGGGTATAGCAAAAGAGAAAACAGTCATTCCAACTTTGAAAATTGTTTTATGTACAACAAAACATAAAATAAACAGCAGGAAATGTTTAACTAATGCTTAATATTTTAGTATATCACTCAAAAATAACCTAAAATGCATTTTGTTACTGAAAACAGAAAAGTGCTTTTTCTTATGAGAGGCATCAAGGATACACAGAAAAATTAATAGATATGTACTGTTTTAATACTGTGATGTATTATGTAATTACAAAAGCATAACTGTAAAACTACACTTTTTTGAAGAAATCAATCATTTGTGTTTTTTTCTTGCTTTGGAAGCATTTCTCTTGATCCAAGATTGCCTTTTTCGGAGCATAAGTTTCTCGGCCAACTCCGTGTCGTCTTGTTCTTCCAAATAGCTCAGCAGTCCGTCGACTTGTTGCAAAGCCGCTTCGTGAGACTTCCGCATCTGCACAGTGGGCTCTTCTTCGCCTTCACTTCGCTGTCCTTCATTCTCGGTTTCTCCCCTTGCTTTCTTCACAATTTTGTCATCTGTCAAGCGCTCGAAGACAGGTTCATTGACGTCACACTCCAACCACCCGTTAATGTTTTCAGCATTGATGTTCTCACCACCCGAAACTGTTTTCACCATATCGGCAAGAGCTGCCAAGGGCGTGTCTACATCTTCATTCTCTTCTTCACAACTCAAAGGGGTTAGGTTGTTGTTGGCTTCAACATTAGGCAAGAGTTTTCTCCATGATTTTATGAGGGTTGACAGTTTCACCGAGTCTCATGCAGATGCAATATCGTAAATGCTGCCCAAGATTGTGTAGTGTTTCCAAAACTCTTTCAGATGATAACCTTCTTCAATTTTGGTCATTAGCAGCTTGGTTCGGTATGTTCTCTTCATTGTTGCACTGACTCCTTGGTCCATGGGTTGGATTAGCGCAGTAACATTTGGGGGGAGAAACTTTGCAAAAATTTGTCCATCAAAAGACTTTAGCACGCTTATTGCTGGGTGAGAAGGTGGGTTGTTGATCAATAGCACAGCTTTTTCAGGCAGGTTTTTCGATTTAAGATGTTTACGCACTTGAAGAACAAAGATTTTTTTGAACCATTCTTGAAAAATGTTTCGGTTCATCCATCCTTTTTTTTTTTTTTTTTGGTTCAAGTAATCAATGGGCAAATTTCCTATCCTTGTGCCTTGGAAAGATCACAGTTTTTTTTTTACTTTCCAATGACAATAAGTTTACGTTCACCGATAGTGTTACTGCAAAACATGATAGTGATCCTTTCCTTGATGCTTTTATGACCCGCTACTTTGAAATGCTAAAGTGCGAGTGGGAGGACATTTCCACAAAAGTTTGTGGATTCGTCGGCATTGTAAATTTGTTCAAAAGATAGCTCTTCTTTTAAAACAAATTCTTCAAATTCCTGGTGCAAATCGTCGGCTGCTTGTTGGCCACCCCTAAGTTTCTCCCCATGAAGTCCAATTTCTCGAATTCCATATCGCTGCTTAAAACGAGTCAACCAGCCAGAAGACGCATCAAAATTTCCTTTCAGACCTAATAACTCAAAAAAGGTTTTTGCCTTCACCGCAATGTGATAGGACCATTTACAGGAGTACCCTCTTTTCGAACCTGAGCTAACACTCTGTCAATGCAGTGTCTAGCTAATCAAAGGTAGAATTCTTCACAGTTTTTTGCATTTTCATTGCAGAAGCACTGTCCGACATTGATGCAAAGTTCACCAGTTTGTCTTTTTGCTTTAGAATGTCACGCACTGTTGTTTCCGCGATTCTGTAATCCAATTCCATCTGCTGCCTTGTAGCACCGTTTGCTACTTTGGAAATTAATTCTAGTTTTTGCGTAATCGTCAACACAAACTTCTTTCATTTTCCTGACGTTTTAAATCAGTAACAAAAAACACAAAACCAAAAAGCACAGGCACTGAACACAATAAAAGATAAGAAATTAACTCCGACCGGTTTGCAAACACTATCAGGCTTAAACTAACAATAGCGAGTGGGAGGAACTGGACGTGTCAGTAAGATTAAGATGAGAGAGGGCGGTGGAGCGGGCATTGCAAGGGTGAGTAAGAAAATCACCTACTCATCAGAGGGGAAGGCTCTGAGAAGGCTACGGTGAAGGTTCCGAGAAGCCCGAGGGGAAGGTTCCGAGAAGGCCTGGGATATTTTTGCCATAAATAAGCACGATGTTAGCAAATTTAACGTTTCGCTCAGTTTTGTGAAAATTTTTATTTTCTTTGCTTTACACTGGTTTAAAAAAAAAAAAAAAAAACTTTGTGCGGCAGACGTGGATAATCCACCCGCGGATAATCGGGAGTCTACTGTATTTTATTTAAATATCTCAGTCTATCATCTATCTGAACTTCTTAAGTATTAATTTTTGTAGCACCCAGGCATAAATTTACATGACCAGTTTTAGATTTTCCTCGTTTCTGGTAATCTATGTATTACCCATCCATTAATTAGCATAGGAATAGAAAATATACATTGCATAAACATATAAGCTATAAAAGAAATTAAACAGTTACTTTTGAACAGAGTCTTTGAAACAAAGGAGTATTTAAAAGACAGAACAACAGTATGTAAGCTCAGAGTAATAGCACATAACACTGGAAAATCTCAGCAATATACATGAGAAAAGTTCTACATCAGATACATTATTTCATTGAATTATGCATCATATTAATGTGCAGCTAACATCTCTAGTATGTTTCCTATTATTATCTTATTAAAATTACAATATCTGCATTACATAAAATAGATGAAAATGTATATAAATTTTTTATATATATCTGAAGTGCAAAAAGTTAAATAATTAAACTTTTAGGAAAGCTATCCATCTTTAATACTGAAATTCAAAAGAGACTTACCAGGTCCTTTTCCAAAGCAACCTCCAAGATCTGGTTCTTCCAGTAATCCATCTTTGCTTTCTTCCTCTTCACTGCTTTCGTCAGAGCTTGGTGTGGGTAATCCAGTAGGCCTTTCTCTATACAAGACACTACGGTCAAATATAGGGTCAGAAATATTTTGCACATCTTCAGTTAAATTTCGATTGATAACTTCGCCTGGCAGCCTTCTGCAAAACCATTTGATTGTGAAGTTCTGAAAAAGAAATGTAATATTAATTACTCATTAACAAATTAATATTACTCATTAATACTTCAAGTAACAATCAAATATTAAAGTGATTAATTAAAAAGTAACACTAATATATTAATTTTAAGTAATGATGATTAAAATAGCAATTTATATATCTTACAGAAATTAATTTTAAAAGATAAACTTTTTTGCTAATTCTACCTTTTATTTGAGAACAAAAATAATTTAAATAGTTGAATATATTGAGCTAATTAAGAGTAACCATGTTTATAATTACAATATTACTAATTATTTTATGCAATATTTTCTTTCATTGGCTATTCCTAAATGAAATATAAAACATTCAAAAAAAAAAAAAAAGATTTAGAAATCAAACAATAAAAATCAGCATTATATTTACAAATTTTCACATGACTAGTTTTGATGGTTCAGTAAAACCATCAAAACTAGTCCTGTGAAAATTTGTAAATATAACATTGATTTTTGTTGTTTGATTTCTAAATTAATACTTGTTTGGCATGTTATTTTATCAATTATTTAAAAAAGAGTATGCAGTATTTCAATGGAAACATTTATCAGAAATAAAAACACACATAAGAACAAACCTTGTTGTTTTCATCATCTGGATCTATTGAATTCTGTCCTGGATCAAGTATTAAACTTTGTCCCCAACCTCTAGTAACCCTAGATTGAGCTCCTTCTGTAAGTCTCACAATTACAGGAGAAGGAACAATTTTCACATATGTTTCTACTGATCTCACAAGTACCAGTGGAGGATTCTGAATAAAAACTAAAAGAAATATTATGTAATTTAACCAATGTGAAATCAGTAGATTTACATGTTTATTCAAAAGACATTACGCCATGAATAGAATTTATGACTTTAACTTTCCCATGTAACTGCAGCTGTTTAAGACAAGAAAAATCTATTAAAAAAGTAACGCCTAACACGAAAACTGACTACAAAGTTTTGACAAAACTGAAAGTAAGTAAATGTTTTCTAAGAAAAAAATTAAGGCATATTAACTTCTACAGTGTGCTTCCTCTAAACATAAAATCAAACTCTTCTCATTTTACAACTATAAAATTTCTACCAGTAACTAATCAAATACAAATTGTTTAAAGTAATATATATATATATATATATATATATATATATAAGCATACATAATAAACTTGCTGTAATAATAAAAACAATATAAATACTTTAAAAAGTATTATATATAACACAAGGGAAGAAATCAAATATTATAGAGACTATTATGATATGCATTGATTCAAGAAGTAATTAAATACAAACGTAAATTAGCAAACTATTAACATCTACTGAAAATGCATCTACATTTTAGTTAGCATTTATACCCAAAAAATAATTCTGAATTCATCTTTATTTCAGCAATTTATTCAAGTAAGACTGAATCAAAAAGTATTAAAAATGTTACTATAAGATTTCAGACGCATTTTCTGCATCTACTGAAAATGCATCTACAATTTAGTTAGCATTTATACCCAAAACATAATTTTTTCAAGTAAGACTGATTCAAAAAGTATTAAAGATGTTACTATAAGATTTCAATGAAGTTTAAGATCCAATTCAGTAGACAATAATTTTGACATGTACACTAAGTACAGTCCCTTCTTCTGCAGTATAGTCAAACTTCTGCATACACACTACTAAGTACAGTCCCTTCTTCTGCAGTATAGTCAAACTTCTGCATACACACTAAGTGCAGTCTCTTCTTTTATAGTATGGTTTCATTTATAGCAATACATATAGCATCTGTTCCATTCTATGCATTTTAATGCTCATTAAAACAATTCCAAAATTTGCATAAGGTTTTGCACGTAACTAGCATAACAGAATAATATACCTTGCTACATTATAGAAATGCAGCAATAAATAGGCAAATATTGTTTCATTGCCTATCTTTAGCATTGCAACCATTCCTGAAAAACAAAAATCCGAAACAAAAAACATTGAGAAATAGCATGTCATCACCTGGGTGAATTTATGTTGAAAAGGAAAACAGGTTAATCATTAAAAGAATTCTAAATGACACTAAAATGTTTTGGCTTCCCTACTGAAGTAAGAAAAACAATATAGTAAGCATTAAATTAAATGCTTTTGGTTTATGGTATCATTTCTAATTAAAAAGGTTGTTCCTTTTTTATAGTTTTCTGTTTTATTTCTTAAAAGTCTGTATTTTGCCTACTGATGTAGGCATTTCAATTCTTTAACCAAAGATAGTATAGTGCACCACCACCAAAACAAAAAACAAAAAAAAAATATTCTTTGCAACACTTATGCATAACAAAGAGAAAATTACCAATATTTCAAATAAAAGAATAGTTAAATACAATGGGAAGAGCTAAAGCTAAATGTTGTTTACTGTTGCTTTGTTTTGGGAAACCTAATACAAAGAGAAATTAAGGTATATATCTGCAAGAATGAATTATGCATAAGATTAGATTATGAATGAGGAACAAAAATTTATAGGTTTCATAATTTTTGAGTCACTTTAGCTCACTTTACAACAAAAAGAAAATAGCATGCAATGCAGCAAAATTTTCTTGGTGATTAACAAACACAGAACTAATGTCAAAAACAAAGCCAGTTTTTTAGTGTCCAATAACTTATTTAAAATACAGAAAATAATGCTGATAATAATAATTAAGTGAAAAAAATCATAAAGAAGGGAAGAAATGGAATATTTTATTACTGTTATGAATATAGTTACCTCAACAGAAACTTAAGATTAGGATAAGTATAAAAGTTATTATGTTGACATAATTTAGCTGAATGAAAAATATGAGAAACCAATGACTGAGATAAGCTCACTACAAAATTACTATGATCCGTCCATTCCATACAGTAAAGAATTTTTTAGCAAAACTTTATATTCATTAGCAGCTAAGGGGGTTAGAAAAGATAAAGAGCTAATGTTAAGGAATTTGAAGGTTAGACAAAAAAAGGGGGAATGAAATAAAGTAACATAAATGATAAGCATTTTCTAACTTTGCTTTAGCTCATTTTAGCTGCCTCTGGAAAGCTGAATAACCTTAAAGGAAAAAGTTTAGATATGTGCAGAAAATCAACAAAAAAAGTGAGAGAAAATCCAATAAAAGATGATTTTAGAAGCATTTTGAATGGTCAAAAAGCCATTAAAAGAAAAGAGACCATACTCAACAGAAAGGAACTGCTCTAACACTATAAACATAAATGGCAAAATTTTAGTATAAGATTAAATATGATTGCTCCAGTCTGAACTGACATAAAAATCATTAGCTTCCCTTATAGTACTACATTTTGAATATTTTATATATTTAAGATATTTTTTTTTTAAGATTTTATACACTTAAGATCTGCTTTGAATATTTTACATATTTAAGATGAAATGTATATATAATGTAATATATAAATACATATATAATGTAATAAATATAAAATACAGTTAATATATTTTCACTCATATTTCATAACAGTAGCATATAGGCCAATAAAGTATTACAATTTTTTTTTAATTCTGCATATTATTATACATCTGTACACACAAAGACTTAAGGTAAGAATAATACTCTTCAAGTATTTCAATTCTTCATATCTTGTTTCCTTTCATCTATAGGCAGATGACCTATTTTTACCATATTTCTCAAAATAAACAGTAGCTTGGCAACTATTGCTATTTATGGAAAAATACTTCATTATTACTTATTTTCATACATTATCATTATTACTTATTTTTTACAAATATTCATGGACTGAAAATCAGATTTGTTCCTTGTAGTTACAGTTCTAAATATCAGAATTTCAAACTGAATATTGAAAATTTTTTCATGATAAACTGATTAATATACAATTAAATAGAAAAATTTTACATTAATCAATTCATTACCTGTCATGTTTACAGTAAATTTCATTTTATAAAGTCCACCTTTTAGAAAGAATGGTCTCAAATATAGCATAGATTTTCTGTACGAGTCCACCATCGTCAAATCAATTTCTTCTATCATCTGACCATTCGTTTCATTTAATCTCAAAGCACTCCAACTTCTCACAGTTTCACTTGAATCATTACACTTCATTGTTGTATATGAATACAACACAACAGGTAGAGACCTACAAAATAAAGAATAAATAAAAATCAATAATAAGAATTACATACCAACTAACATATTTAAATAAACTTCTATGACTTTTAAAAATGATTAATATTATAATGCTTTTTTAAAATAAAATTATAAAATTCATTATTTCATAACAGATGCAAAAAGCATTGAACTTTTTAATATTAAAACATATTGAAAGATTACTAAAACTTTGAACTTATATACACTGGTGTTTTTTCATTATTATTACTTCATTAGACAAACTGGCATTATTGAAGAAAGCATTTGGTTTCTCTTTTACTGAGTACAACTTTTAAAATAAAATAAAACTAAAATGGGCAGCTTGGTTGGTTCATTCAGACTAGATGTGCAGAAAAGAAGATGAACACATTTTGTACAATACAAGATAAATCAATGACTTCCTGAACTCAGAAAAGGAAATGAAAATGGCTATATGCATAATGATAACAGAACTCAGTTGTTTCTGGAAGAACAAAAATTGCTCCTAAAAGTTCATATTGCAAATATCAGAAAGAGTTAACAATAAATACCCCCCCCCAAAAAAAAAAATCAGCACAACCAATGTTTTCCTAAATATTTGATGAGGATGTTAGATTTCAACATGAAGATACTATTTTAAAGATAAGAATCCCTATTTCCATTTATAATTAGCATGCAATGCCTCTGAAATTTCCAGTTTTTTCATTGTTTTATTGGAAATGCATATTTTTATATCAGATCATTTTCTAAAAAGAAACTTACCATCATATTTAGGAAATGGAAGACCACACACTTAAAGCAGACTTATGCAATTTATTTTTTAATAACTATTTTTGTAACCTTCAAGATGATTGAGTTCCATATTAAATATGATATTTTTTATTCAAAGTTTAATTTTTTTTTGGATTAATTGCTCAAAATATAAGAAATTTTTAAGCTTTGAAATTCTGACATATTTCACTAAGAAAAATCTGGAATCTGAAAAAATCTGAAGGAATTTGGAAGAGCAAGAATCTAGGTAAATTTATATATCATGTATTTACTATTTTTGATAGGCAAGAGAGGAAACTTATACAGGCTTCTACAATGAATAGCAATAATTTTAGGCACAAAAGAGTAAAAATTCATGAAAATTACCTATAAGTCTCTGGAGCAAGATAATAACTTGGAATTCTATTTCTTATTGACAGGTCAGGTGCTTTACACGTTTGATTCGTAATAAAAAACCTCACAGTTGTATTCACTTCAGATATGGCATTGAAAGCTTTAAAAAATGCATCAATATAGCCTTTTGAAATATATGTATGTCTGATTATAAGAGGATTTTCAAGTTCACCTTCCCAGACAACTTCTTCTGCTGTGTCATTACATGTTTCACCATTGCCAAATGCTCGAAGCACTGTGCCATCATCAAAATCCACAAGTAAGCATGTATCAGTTCCAATTCGTTCAAGATAAACCTATGAATAGCAAGGAAAATTTAGAAACAGAAATGCATTTCGAATATAGTATCAATAATCTCACAATGTCAAGAACAGGGTAATTATTACAATGACAAGTTTGTAAGCACATAAATACATTATTACATGAATGTACAGAAACTGTTTTAAAAGAAAGAACTATTAATATACCTCTAATAGTCTTTTAAATAATAAAAGACTGTTGGAGGGGAAAAAAAACCTTTCACAATAACACACCATAGTGATCTAAATTTGTTTTGTAAAATACACCTAATGCACACATAAGCTCTTGATAAAACTGAATTAATGATTGCTAGGAGAAACCAGAGCTGCCAATTTCTATGGCTTCTTTAAATATAAGATTATTTTTGCATTGATGTTTGTTGATGATTCTAGCTTCGCCCATTTAGTTACTGAGTTTAGATATTCTAAGAGGTATTTTACAGTATTGCCCTAAGTATTTTACAGTATATATTCTAAGAGGTATTTTACAGTATATATTCTAAGAGGTATTTTACAGTATTTTCATTCCCATACTAATTAACAATGAGTTTACAAATACCACTCTCATGCTCAGCAGTACTTGGTGATAATTTTCTGCATGATGAATCAATATTTTGAGTTTCAGTGTTTGTTTCTTCTTCACGGGGTACATCGACGCAGTGTGTCTACTGTGTTTGTACCTAACTTGTTAAAAATTTACAGATGGATGATGCTAGGCTTATGGCAGTTGATATCCAAATCTTTAGAAAACTAAACTAATGGCAATGGGATAACATGGTGATGCTCCTATTTTTTTTCCCAATTTGTTATAAAATTGGCAATTTTGTTTTTTTCAAATTAATTGCAGAATTGTGTAATTTGTCTATGAATTTCAGTTTTTCAAGTAAGTGGGTATTTATTTGTTGCCTTTTTTAGAATGTACTTACATTCATTTTCACAGACTGCAGAGTGAAATTTTGCTCTTAAAAATTTCCAAATCAATAGGAATAAATAAAAGGAATAACTAAATAGAGAGCTGAAATGCAAACATGACATATATTTGAAAAAAGGTGTGTTTATAACTAAATGTTTAAAAATTATCATAATTTTTTGTTAAATCAATCCTACGCAAAATGATCATTTCACACTTAAGTTTTATTCAGACATTATTCAGGATAATCACAGCATATAAGGAGGTGGAAACAGGTAACAGTAATCCTAAGCAGATCAAGATAAAGATAATACAATAACCACTAAATGATAAAAAAATGCTTACTTCAAATTCTTTATCTTCTTCCTCTTCTAATGTAGCATTCACATTATCAATGGCAATTAAACCTTCAACAGGCTCCATAAGGTATAAGAACAGAAACACAGGGTCTGTAGTTTTTTGAACATGATTGTAGGCTGACACTGTAAAATTATAGTAGCCTGGCTGGAATTTAAGAAAATACGTTTTACAATTAATGTTATAAACATTCAATTATTGTATTCATTTTCTCACTCTCATTCTTTCCTATGTAGCTATACTTCTTTAATAATTACTTACTTTAACAATTAACTAAAAATTAACTTAAATTAACAATTAACTAAAAAATATATTACTTCCTAAGCTAAAAGTAAATAAAAAATAATAAATTTTTAAAAAATTGTTTTTAAATGGGAAGGAAGGAAAAACAAAAAGGAAAAAAAATTATATTCTTTCCTTGTTACTCAATTATTTAACATTCCAAATACATAATTAAAAAAAGAAAGAGAAAGAGAATAGAAGAAAGCAAAATTAACCTCTTGAAACATCGTAGTATAGGATGTGTCTGAACTGTTCATCAGAGTAGTACCATTTGCCATTTGCACGATATACAACTCAACCTCACCTAAAATATGCAAAAGAAATAAAAAATTAATTAATTCACAGTATAGAAATAATCAATAGGCAAATTATTTTAAGAATGGATTTCAAGACATGAGGCAATAAAGACATGCAAAAAATACATACAGATTCACACGTAAAAATAATACTGAAAAAAGATATTAATAAAAAAATTTCATCTAAAATAAAGACTAAATTGGGTAGCTAAATTAATAATATGCATGCTGTCAATGAAAAAATTCAAACTTCTGTAAAATTTATATATATTTTACATCATATTTTGAAACCACTGTTATATTATGAATTTGACACTAATATTTTATATAATGAGAATTAAATTATTTAGCCTGGTACAACAATAAAATCTTATTAACTGCTATATTTCCACTTAAATTATTATACAATATTTGTTTGACAAACCGAAATTTTTTTTCAATATTTTCTGTTGTGTATTAGTAATCAGCGTGAGAAATATATTACATGCTGAAAACTTATAAATGGATGGAGTTGGTTGATTTTATTCTCATACCCTTTACTATATTATTCATGAAATGTTTGTCCTACAGTCTTACCAGTGGCAACACTCATATGCATAGTAACATTGCGTTCAACTGGAAACTTGTTTTTCTCAGGGCCATAACCAGCAATTTGATCGTGACTTCCAAGCAATGGACTATACAGCACATTTACTGCAAGATCTCTAATTCGGACAGCTGTTTCAACCTAGAAAATAACCTACATTTTACTACTGAACATACTATTTCAAAACAAAAATAATCTTAAATCAAAAATTAGATTGAAGATAAATATTACAAAATGAACGTACAACCACATAGTTTCCTGCAAAATTAATAATTATTAAATTAAAAACCAGATTGAAAATAAATATTATAAAAACAGAGTTTCAAAATCAGAAATAAGGTGGAAAATTAAATATTATACAAATTTTCAAAACCTTTAAAAATAGCTTCCCTTTTAAAATATCAGGCTTTATGCAATATTTAAAAACAATTATTAAACACAATGATATTTTTACTCATCATTTAGAAAATTATATATTGAATTTTAAAAAATGCGAAAAATAGGAAATTAAAAAATACAAAAAAATTGACTATTTTGCAAAGAGACAAAATACAAATTTATCAGGACAAAATATACCATTTGATATAATCAATGGTACAAATAATATGCAGTAAAAATAATATATTCTCCCAAGAAAAGTAATCCCATTAATTATTTACAAATTACAAGAGTCATCATGCATTTTATGATCAATATCAAAAAATTAGAAGCCAAGTTCAATGAATAAAAACATGAAGTTAACAATGTAAATAAACAATTTTAGCAACTGTAATGAATTCTGATGCATTCTAATATTCTGAAATCTTAACTTGGAAACAAGCAAAATATTTTCACATTTGAAAAATTAAGTTTGGTATGAAATATATTAAAAACATTTTTTTCTTATTTTTATGTCTATCTCCATCATTATTTCCTTAGGACTTCAATAAACATTAAGAATTTAAAACATTTAAAATTATATTTGATGGAATTATTAAATGCTGCATAATATACTACTGAAAAATTGTGCTATTAAGTTGTACTATTGAAAAATATCCTTCACAAATAATTGTTTTCATTTTAAAATGTGTTGATGAATATTTATATTCATCAACAGATTAAGATATGAATATCAAAAGATATCTGAACTGAAGTTCTAAAATATTTTTGATTTATTAGATTTTGAATAGGGATTCAAACCTGAGAAATCTTACCTCAGTTAATAAAGTATAGGAAGAAACAATATTTGATATACGAATGCTGACAAGGTAAACACCTGGTTTTCGGTATTTATGTTCAAATGTTTCATGTATTCCTTCTCCTTCTTTTGGAATATTCCACTTCCAAGATTTCTTATCACCAAATGCAAATACAGCAGTTGCATTGGTAGGTAAAAGTTCTGAAGCTGGATATGTCAGCTCAAAAACAATAGCACCTGTATAAAACATACAGCAGTATTAATTCCAAAACAAACTGGCAAGAAAGGTGTATATAATGCAAAATATATGAAGATATGATAATAATACGATTTCTTGTTCGAGAGATTACTACATTAATCAAGGTAAAACAGAAATCTCTATTGTAAAAAATAATAAGCATGAATGATTTTTTATAAAATTAAACTGGCAATAATAATTATCAAATCATGACAGCAAAGGGTTTGCTAATTTTGATTTATTTAGAATGAACAACTGCATATTTACACTGCAAATTCTGGAATTAGATTTATCAGTTTTAATTAATAATTATTAAAGCTTAGAAATGAAAACATAAAATTTATGTTACTTACAGTACACCATTTACACCTCAGAAGTTTTTAAAAATTATAAGTTACATTTAAGCTTTAAGAAATAAACTTGAAGTAGGCTTTTTTTTAATGAAACTTTCATTTGCATCTAAAAGCATGTTTAAATTAAAAAAATGTTACTACAATGAATTCTAACTTAAAGTATATTCTGCATACTGCTATCAAAACTCTTTACTTAAATAAAATGGATTCAAATTTATTATGCAATGTAAGTATTCATTATTAAAACTAAAAGATATAATATTAAAATTAAAAAATTAAGGAGAAATATGGATAACATATTGAAAAGGTATTATATAGAAAATATATTTAATTGATTTACTTGGAAGTATCTGAGGTGTATTAGTTGTAACCCCATAAATTGGAAGAACAGGTCTTTGAGCTCTAAGGACATGAACTTGAGAGAAATTTGCGTGTGGATTTGATGCTCGAACTCGAATCACATACACTCCAGGTTGAGGGTATTTATAAGTCTTTTCATATTTCCCACCTTTTTTCACCTCTGAAAATTCAAAGAAGTTATCACTTAAAGCAGTTAAAAAAATCTTCTTTTATAAATATTAAAACATAAAAGCAAGAAATACAAAACATTCAACTAATAAAAGGAAGAAAATGACATGAGTGAAAATGACATTCTAATGAGTTTCTTACTTTCCCATAATGCATCTACAATGCATTTTGGTGGTACTATTGCAATAAGATGTGTGTTTTAATTATTCTTGTTTACATACATAGTCCCCAGATGGTGCTACATGGGTCTCAGTATGTGTTTGTCTTCTCTTTTACAGGGGCCAAAAAGCATGGCAGGTGCAGAATGGAAAAGTAGCACAGTCTGTAATTTTATAATATTGTTACTTATAATTCTGTTGTTTACAATTGTGTTTGAAATAAAGTAGATTTTCTCTAATTCAACTCCTGATTACACAATATTATGCATAACACAATGATATTTTTTTTAATTGCCAATTGATTTCTGCTGGGCATACGGAATATTATCTTTGAAATAGTGAAGTGGTTTGTTAATAGCTAAACTATAATAATTTCTATTGCCTGTACGATGCAAACAGTATAAGTACATTTTAATTACTGTATTCTAGCAATTACAGTATATATTTATGCATTAAAAGATCTGCATGTTTTCTTGCTCTATTCAGCGATTAAGGTACTCTAATTTTGCCCTTTTTTTACTTTCCCTTTGTGGCACAATTTAATGGAATTTGTATAATGAATTTGGTGACAGGTTTCTCTCTTTTTGTGACAATTTAAATCTATCCCATTCCTTCTCTAAGTAATAAAGCAGCTGAAGAAAGTCAGAAAGCTGATTACCACTCACTCCCTTTTTGTTGTCAACCATTAGCCAGACCTGTGAGAAGGTATATGGCACTTTTTTTCTCTTTCCTTTTGTGGCATAATTTAATGAAATTTGTATAACAAATTTGATGATAGATTTTGTGCTTTTTGTGACAATTCCAATCTATCACATTCCTTCTTTCAGTAATAAAACAGCTGAAGAAAGTCAGAAAGCTGATTACCACTCACTTCCTTTTTGTTGCCAGCCATTAGCAGGCTTGTGTGAAGGTTTATGGCTGTACACTATAATAAGATACACTTACAGTTCATTCTAGGAACCTGGAGCCATTGCTAGTGAGAAAATTGCACAGAGTGCACATATCTGGCTGTTTACTTTCTGTCTAGTAGGAATATGCCTGTGAAAATTTCTGGATCATGCAAACCTCTTGAAGGAGAAATCTGAGAAAGTAATAGAGAAAATGGCCCATTCGCTATTGGTTGAGAGAGATATTCACTTAATTTCAAAAGCTATCGCATGATCATGATCTCATGTGTCTTTTAGTTTATATCTAAGCTTATAAGTATTGTGTTGCTTGTACAAGTGAAAATGTAAAATGAGAATAAATAGCAGATTAATATGACAATTGAAATGAAATGTAATGCCTTAAGAGATTGACAAAGAGATATGTATTACTTAAATACTATTGATTTAAATGCTGAATGAAGTAATATGAGTTGTGAATAGACCATCCCTTCTTCTGTAAAACTTGACATTTTCAGTTACTCATCACTCTCACAGTCCACATTATATCAAACTTGTGGAATTCTATTTAATGGTATTCAGGCATTCAGTACACCATATTTCAGAAAATAATTTATTCTGTGAGCCCTTAAATGAAGTAAAAAATTTTTATTGCATAATTTGCAGCTATATATCTTAATTTTATCACCAATACTTTCCCTTTGTATAATTAAAAACATCTCAGCCTTTTTTAAGTATTATCTTATATAAACTTCTTAGACAAAAACAAATTCTTCATAATTCCAGACATTTATATATAAAATCTCTTGGTTGTTTTATGTATCCATTTCAGTAAATTCCAATACAGTGAAAAAAAATTCTCGATTTACATTAAAACATTTCATAATTAATCTCAGTATTGTATATGCTTTCTTACAAGAAATACATTGATTATCACAGGAAAAGATTCATAATCTACATATGCTATAGCAGTTCTTTATTAAATCTGAACTAATCCTGAACCAATTACTTGAATGGGTTATCTATATGAATTTTATGTTGATTACTCCAGATACAATTAAAACCAGTTCAATAATTTAAATTATATTTTAAAACGGGGAAAAGAAAATGGAGAGAAAATACTTATAAAATCCCTTCTGCTTTGAGATAAATAGTTTTAATATAAGTTTCATCATAAATATATCTTAGCATTCTTGCTCTTAAATGGATAACAAGATGCCTAGATTTTCTGAAAAATTTATTACCAGAAAAAAAGTTATTTAAATAAGGGCATTAAAAATGTCTTATTACCAGAAAAAAGTTATTTAAATAAGGGCATTAAAAATTTATTTAAATAAGGGCATTAAAAATTTATTTAAATAAGGGCATTAAAAATGTAAGTAATATATAGTATTAGAAACCCCATTTTTAATTACAGTAATGATGTAAATGTTCATAAAAAGTATCAGTTGGATATATTATAAATTAAGTTTATTTTAAAATATATTATTAAATAGGTGCATTTTTAAAAAATAAAATATAGAGTTCAATTATTCAGAAGTGTATTCATTGCTTTTAAATCACTCATTTAAATTAGAGACTAATTAATTTTAAAGATAATTAATTATCTTACACTGTGCCACAAATGGCAACATTCTGAGAACTGGCTGTTTGCAAAGGCATGTGGAGGATAAATTAGAGATTTCATATTTCAGATAATGACAACATTTGCCAAACCACATGGATGATCATAATTGGGAAATTTAATCATTGCATCTCAGGATATTAGATATTAAGATATAAAGTAACAACACATGTAAGCAGAAAAAAGAAGACAAAATTGGACATTAACTTTTTTTCTTACCTCTTAGAAATTCTTTCTTTGTTCTACCATCTCCAAACTCCCACAAAACATCCACAAATGTTCCACCACTAATTTTTATTTCAATAGTTACTTGTTCAATAGTAGATACATCTGGAGGATTCACACTCAGTTTCAAGCCAGCTAGAGGTCTCTGAGAATCAACTTCTTGCTTTCGCATAACAGGAGCAGTAGAAAACTTATTTGCTAACTTCATAACAACATCATGCATTCCTGAAATTTTTAAGAGAAAACTGAGATACAGTTAAATTAAAAAGCACAGCAAAGAAAAACTACATAAATAGATATTAAATAATTTCATTCTCTAAATGATGAATAGTATTTTGAATAGTAAGTTGACAAGCTGACATGATCCTTGGCCTTTACTTCGACTGTACGCAATGAATCTTAATACAGAATAGTTTTTATGTTCAGAAGAAGAAGACAAAAAAAGTAAAACTTTACAGCTCTTTTATACTTCACTTTAATTTTCTGTACATTAATATATTACTCTGTTTATTAGAAATTTGTGAAACAGATAAAGTAGATGTACTTACTATATGTGTCGAATTTAAGTTAAATTACAAATCATGATACATAAATAACAAAAATGATAAAATTAAGTCTCTTTTCTTACTTACCGGCAAGCATAATTTAAATTTAAATGCTTTTTTAGTTTCTGCATGCTTTTAAAAAAACCATTTAAATTAAGAATCATTATAAAAGAAATTATTTTGCTGTATTTATCTAAGCAACTTTAAAAAAATGAAAAATCTTTACTAGATCTTATCTTATATCTCCTACATCTTTACCCTATTCCATATTCACTCTAAATAAATTATTTTTGTTTTTGAAGGTACCAAATTTTAGACTACCAAGATATTTAACAAAAACACGTGACCCCAATTTAATTATTATTTGATAACAAATCTTAAGTAAGTTAATATCAATTAATTATTGCTGCACTATTAACAGAAAATGTATTACATAAATTTTACAAACAATTTAAAAGCAATTTCATAGAAAAGTAATGATGTACAAAAAAATGAAAAATAGAAAATTGTTTCCATTTAAAATTATTAGGAAATTATAAACATTTTAATATTTACTATTAAATTTCAAGTAACTTTTCAGTTCCCTCCTTCTTCTTTTTTTTTTTTTTTTTTTTTTTTAAGAAGGGGAAGGCCTGTAAAATTAGCAAAGCACATAAAGTGAATTCTTGGCTTTGTTATTTTTATGAGCTTTAATAAGCTGAAAAAGTAATTAGACCAGTGCTGTGTGTTGATCTCATGTTATCAAAGATTTTGAGTTTCAACAAAAATATTTAAATGAAATTTATAAGGAATAAACATTTTCTAGACACTTCCACAGTTAATATAAAGCAGTTAAACAAATTTAATTAGATATAACAGTTAACTCAGCAAATTAGTTAATAGTAGCATTGACCATAACTTATTCAGAAGTAAACTCAATAAAAATTATCAGATAAACTAGCATTCAGTGAGAAAACTTCTCATAAGTAAAATGAAACTAATATTCTAAATTTTAAAATATTTTTTAATTGATTTACATATTATTATCTAAACAAAATAAGACATATAAAAAAATCTTACCGATCTTTTTATTAAATAAGTACTGAACACCAAGTTCTATTGGATTATTGATTATAGCTTGAAAGTAATGTACTTTCTGTGTATCTGACAGAATATCTTGTGGTATCACAGTTTCTTGCATATCAAAAGTAATGGCACCTAAGTCAGATGGTTCTTTAAGGTTCGATTTCCTGAAAATCAGTTTATATTTATAAAACAGATTAATACAACAACACTGTTTATTATATGCCCAATAAGAAACAAACATGCTTTAAAAAAAAGGCATTAGAAACTTTTCATTGCGTAGCGTTGTGTACATATTTGATATGATAGCCAAAAATTTACAAAATTTCTTACGTATTTGTTAGCTCATTCATTTCTGTCAATTTCAAATAAGTATTCATCACTGCAATAAAAATTAATCTCAAAGTCTTCTTTGACTGGAGAGCCTTTACAAACCCATGCTTTGATACAGCAGTCAACATTACAAACAATTTTTCTTTTATTTCATTTATGGAGTCAAATCTTTCCCTTTTTAGCTTCTTTTTAGAGAAAGGAAAAACATTTCATAGAGCAAAATTTGGAATGAGTAAATATATTCATGGCACAAATTTGTCAGCAGTCCTTCTCATGTTAAGTTTATTCAATAAAATTTACCTACATGTGTTGTAAAGTAATCCTTCAACCTCACATTATGAATCTTCTGCTTATGATCTTTTAGGATAATTTTAAGTACTTTTGTGATATTTCCTGACAATGTGCCAGTTGAAAGATGCCCAGAATAATCCTCAACTTCAATTGATATTTGAATCTTTAAAATGGATAAATCACTGCTAGACTGCTATCTAAGTAGAAACATTTTTGCCAATAGCGGGCTGTAGCATTTTTAAGTTTCCACATTTGTGTCATTCATTTCTGCATCCAATAAAACTGCACAATATTTCGGACACAGAATTTTAAAAATCCACATGAAAAAGGCACCTGAGATGGATTTCACATAACAGTCAGTCAGTAACTGTAAATCAGAATCAGTAACAGTACACTTGGTAAATGTTTAATATCCTTCACCTAGGCAAACAAATAGAAACAGTCAACAAGTTTTTTTAAACATTTTTCACACAATTTTGAGTAGCATTTCATAATAGTTTATTTAATTTCAGCAGCAGAGAATAACAGTTTATCACGTAAACATTCCTTTTTTTTAACAAGAATAAATTTACTCTTTTAACTGAACATAACATTATCAAATTTCATATATATTAATAGTATAAAAATTTAAGTGAAAAAGTCTGTTCTACAGAATATTGAAGTAGAAGTTATCGTACTTTTCAGTTACTGTTCTTCATTTATAGTGATAAAATACTTTAAAGCAAATTTTTGCACCCCAGAAATGACTCTTTGCCAACTGATTTGTTATTTTAGTGTGCTGACATTTGTCTTTGGAGTGCAAATGGCTAATATTTTACAGAAGACTTAAGAGAAAAGGGAAATGATGTTTTACAGAAATTAGAATTGCTAAAGTAAATAAATATGAACTTTCACTCAATATTCACTCAAAAATGTATTAACTTTTTTTTTTTTTTTTTTTAATTTCTTTGCAACATATTTCTTATCCTTAGTAACCAAAGACACAGAAAATACAAAAGCCTTAAACAAAGCATAAAATTAAAATTCCATAGGGCAGAAATTCGATAGATATACCTATAAATCTGGTATAAAATGCACATATTTTTATTCTGGCATGAATATAAAATAATAAGAAAAGAGCTAAAACAAAGAACTTATGTGTACTCATGTGTCATGCTCATGAAAGTATGGGAGTTCAACTTGGAATATTGTTTAAAAGCATACTGACATTTTAAAGTAGACATTTAGCTTTGGCATTTGACAAGAAGAATGGCATTTTGAAGCTGCTGTTTCTAGATACTGTAAAGGCAACGTATTAATTTTATTTAAAATGTATTTTCCCGATTGGCAACAACAGTTTTTTTCAGAACGATAATAATTTGAACTGTAAGTTTTTTTAGCAGTAATATTGACGGTAATGTTTCTGAATAAAGCAAGTAAACTAACAATTAATGTTTTGACGGAATGTGTTTTTAATAAAGAAACTAATTAAATGCTAACATTTCAGAAGTGGGATAAACTAGAATTATTATCTAGATTTAACAACGTATTGCCTTGTATTGCCTTAACGTACGCTAAGCCTAAACTGAATGTGGAAACTCGCCAAAACTGAAAGTAGAAAGGTACGTGAATTTATAAACTGTTTATGTTATGTCTAAGTATTAAACGGAAAGAACTTAAGTATAATTATTGTATTAGTATTTGAAAATTGAAGTCTAAGATGGCTTATTTGGCAAGAGGCAAAAAATGTGATTTAAAAGAACTTGCTTTGGAACTTGATGTAGATGTCCCTTCTGATATTAAAATTGTAGGCTTAAGAGATATGATTTTGAATAGTAAGAATTATAACGAAGACTTTACTAAACAAATGCTAGATAGAATTATAAATGATCGTTTAGACAGGGAAAAGTTAGAAATTTTAAAAAAAAGATAAGCAAAGAGCATTTGAAATGGAAATTTTAGAAAAGATAAGCAAAGAGCATTTGAAATGGAAATTATAGAAGAAAGAGATAAGCAAAGAACTTTTGAACTAAAAAATTGAAAATAGAAGCGGAAATCAGAAGTAGTAATGTAAATGATTCTGTTCCTTCTAATGTTAGTAGAAGTAATATTTGTGATATGAGTAAATTAATGCATAAGTATGATTTGAATGAAGGTGATATAAGTTTTTATTTAGTTTTATTTGAGAGACAGGCACGACGTATTGGGTTAGAAGAACAAAACTGGGTTTCTCAGCTGTTGGGTCTATTGCCTTATGAAATAACTCAATTAATTGCCCGTGAATCAGAAGAGAAAGAGAAAGCTAACGACTATAAGCACGTTAAACAACTGCTACTGAGAAAATTTAAGTTAAGCCCTGAACAGTTTCGGCAAAAGTTCGTTGATCATATTAAAATGTTGCGTAATACGTGGAAGGACTTCACGTTTGAATTACAAAATTATTTTGAAGAGTGGCTTGCTGGATTAAATGTAACAGATTTTGACTCTTTAAAACAACTTATTATTACTGATCAATTAAAGAAGAGGGTCCCCGCTGCTATCCGAAACCATTTCATTGATGATTGGTCTAAATTCATTAATCCTGAAGAGTTGGCTGAAAAAAAACTAGATGAATATGAAAATATTTCGGGCAGGGATAAAAGTACTTCAAGTAGAAAATAAAACTTTTAGGCATAATTTTAAGCCCAAATCTGGTTCTAAATTTTATGAAGGATCCTATAATCAGTATTCAAGACAAAGAAATGTTAAAGATTCCATGCAGACAGATGGTAATTTCAAAGTGGGTTTTAAAAACAGTTTTGATAATAAATACAATCTGAGAGATAAATTTTATAAAACAGACGAAAGGAAAAGGGAATATAATTCCTGGCATCCGCAATGAAAAGGGTGAGCCGAAATGCTTCAATTGTAATGATTATGGACATATAGCGACGGATTGTCCTCAGCCTAAAAAAGAAATTATTTGCAGGAAATGTAATGAAAAGGGTCATACTTTTAAAAAGTGTACGTCTAAGAATCCAGACTTGACAAATGTTAAAAATAATTTATCCGTGGACCAGAATTCAGGTGTTTCACCAGCTGTATATTTAAAGTATGCTCGCATCAATAATGGAGAAGAAATTACTGCAATCATAGATACGGGTTCTAGTTCGTGTTTATTGAAACAGTCTGCGGCTAAGAGACTGAATCTTATTGTAAAACCTGATGTGGAGAATTGTTTGGCTTTGGGAACCAGAATAAACCAGCCGCTAGAACATTGGGAAAAGTAACTGTTAACTTAGAGATTGATAATGTGGAAGGAAAGGACATTACAGTTCTAATTGTAGGAGATGAAACGCAACCATGCCACTTATTAGTTGGTCGAACATGGATTGATTTACCGCATACTTGCATACGCCAAGATAGGTAATACCTTGCACATACGCTATGCTAATGACTGCCCATTTTCACAGTTGCAAAATGATAGCAACACTCCGCGAATTAAACTGAAGGCTTCCCAAGAAACTCAAATCGAAAGTAATACGGTTAATTTCGTGAAAGTTAAAACTGATGAAATAAATAACGGTTATGTTTTAATAAGTGGATCGGAAGATGAGTTGGGCTCATTATTGGAAGTAATACAGGGAGAAACAGTGATACCAGTCACTAACTACAGCGATCGAAAACTAATTTTGAAAGAGAATCAATGTATCGGTAGAGCGGAAGTAGTAGCAGAATTAGTTGAACCAAGTTCAGATCAGAAAACTGAAAATTCAAGTCAAAAGGAAATACTGATAATAAATGAAATTAAGAAGTTTAGGAGACCGATTACTTTAGAAGAAATTAAAGTTAATAACAATACTACGCCAGAAAGAAAACAGGAAGTTTTACATTTGATAAATGAGTATCGAGATTGTTTTGCATTAAATATGGAGGAATTAGGGTGTACAAACTTAACAAAAATGGATATTAAAGAAATTGAAGGGAGTAAGCCTATTTGCATGAAGTCGTATAAAACCAATGCCGAAGAGCGTGCTTCTATAAAGAAGATAATAAATGAATGGAAGAAATATGGAATTGTTACTGAAACAAGATCTCCGTATGCTAGTCCAGTTTTACTCGTAAAAAAAAAAACAGGTGAATTACGATTAGTGATAGATTATAGAAAGTTGAATTCGCAAACTGTTAAAGATAAATTTCCACTCCCTAGGATAGATGATCTTCTTGAATGTCTTAGTGAGTGTAAAGTTTTCACTACATTGGACTTAGCTCATGGATATTTGCAGATTCCTTTAACTGAAGAAGCGAAACTGAAAACAGCTTTCATCACTCCAGATGATACTGGTCAATTTGAACGTATGATCTTTGGGTTAGCTAATGCACCTGCAGAATTTCAGAGACTTATGAATCAAGTTTTAGGTCCATTGCTTAATAAAGAAGTATTGTGCTATTTGGACGACATATTAATTCCGGCTAAATCTTGGGAAGAAATGATGGAAAAAACTTAGGAAAGTGTTTGATAGATTGAGAGAAGCAATGCTGACATTGAAACTGACAAAATGCGAATTTGGAAAAGATGAAGTTGAGTATTTGGGATTTCTAATAAAATCAAATGGTATGCAACCTGGACCAAGAAAAGTACGAGCCATATTAAACTTTCCTAAACCAACCAATGAACATGAAGTTAAACAATTTTTAGGTCTTACAAGTTTCTTTAGAAGGTTTGTACCGAAATACGCAGAGAAAGCTGAGCCGCTAACGAGACTGACGAGGAAGGATGAAACATTTCGTTGGAACGAAGATCAGCAAGAAGCATTCAGTACTTTAAAGGATCATTTAACTAATGAACCAATACTAGCATTATATAATCCCGAAGCAGAGACTGAAGTGCACACAGACGCGAGCAACAAAGGGCTGGCAGGAATGCTGTTGCAAAAAGGTGAAGATAGAAAGTGGCATTTAGTTTATTGTGTAAGTAAAGGGACAACAGAAACAGAAAAGAATTATCATTCAAGCAAATTAGAATTAATGGCTATAGTTTGGACTTTGACACGACTTCGACAATTTTTAATTGGAATCCGATTTACGGTAATTACAGACTGCCAAGCTTTAGTTTATTTAAACGCGAAGAAAACTTCAAATCCTCAGATAGCAAGGTGGAGTAATCTGATCCAGGAATACAATCTTGAAATAAAGCACAGACAAGGTAAAAAATGAGTCACATAGATGCATTGAGCCGATCGCCAGTTGATCAGCCAGAAGAAACTTTAGACTCTATAATTGAAAACAACTTGGAAGTTTGTTTAACGCTAACGATAGATGAACAAATTCTTATGATTCAGCATTCAGATCCAGAATTACGCAAATTAATAGACATTTTAAAGAAAAAGATAAATGATAGAACGAATGCAGAGAAATATGTAACTGAAAATTACGTCTTGAAGAATAATCGATTGTTTCGTAAAGTGAAAGATCAGGAAAGGAAAAGGAGAAATTGAAATTGTTATATGTCATACCTAAATCGATGAGAGAAAAGGTATTGTAGTAAAATTTCACGATCTTTTGGGACATTTTTCAGCAGACAGAACTGTTGCCAAAATCAAGGAATCATACTGGTTTAAAGGAATGAAACGATATGTTATGCGTCACATTTCGATGTGTTTCGAATGCCTAGTAAATAAAATGCCTAGTGGTAAGAAACAAGGAGTACTGCATCCAATTAGACCTGGTAGAAGACCTTTTGCAATTATACATATAGATCATTTAGGACCATTCGTAAAAAGTTCAAGAGGAAATACAGAATTATTTGTAATAATTGATAATTTTACGAGATTTACACGCTTATATCCTATGAAAAGTACTGCAACCAAGTATGTGTTAGTTGCATTGAAGAGTTTTGTAGATGATTTTGGGTTACCAGAAAAAATTATCAGCGATAGAGGAACATGTTTCACAGCGAAGGAATTTCGAGAGTACTGTCAAAATAATGGAATCAGTCATACACTCAATTCAACTCAACATCCAAGTGGTGGTAATGGAATGGTGGAAAGAGCAAATCGAACAATTTTGGCTACGATTAAAACGAGTATGGAGAAAATCCGAATCAGAGAGACTGGGACAAAAAGATTAAGGAATGCGAAAGAAATCTAAACAATATGATAAATAAGACTACAAATAAAACTCCTTTCGAAATGCTTCACGGTTATTCACCAAAATTTAACGACGGATTGATGAGGATGATTACAGATGAAGACGCAAATGAATGGGAGAATCCAGTAATCTTACAGAATGAAGCTAGAAAGAGAATTGAAGATATGCAGATGAAAATGAAAGCAAATTATGACAAGAAGAAAAATTCTTTAACATTCGAACGAGGAGAAATAGTAGTTATGAGAAGAGTACCTAAATCAACTGGAGAATCAACCAAAACACAACAAAAGTATCGAGGACCTTTGGTAGTTACAGAAGTTTTACCAAGTGATACCTATAGAGTGACTCAATTAGAAGAGAAGGTGAAAGGACATTTCTTTAGTACGACAGCTCATGTGAGCCAATTAAAGTCATGGCAGTGTCAAGCTGAATCAGAAGAAGACGATGATGATGGTGATGTGATGACATTAGTGTTACTGGGATAACGATAACAACACGCCGCATATTACTAAAACTAGGACACGGAAAAAGAATAGAAAACGACGGTGAATCTATATGACAGCTAAAAACTTTCAAACTATAAACATTAATATTACAGATTTAATTTTTTTAAATATAAGTTCTTAATGTTCTGAGGTCGTAACTAAGTCAGGATGCCTGAATGTAAACGCAATGTATTAATTTTATTTAAAATGTATTTTCCCGATTGGCAACAACAGTTTTTTTCAGAACGATAATAATTTGAACTGTAAGTTTTTTTAGCAGTAATATTGACAGTAATGTTTCTGAATAAAGCAAGTAACTAACAATTAATGTTTTTAATAATGTGTTTTTAATAAAGGAACTAATTAAATGCTAACAATACATAGCAAGTTCATCCTCTGTAAAGTTTACTTTTAATACAATCATCACTCAATCCTATAAGGATGATTATTTTTTCCTACAAAAATTGAATTAGAGCTGAAAACTGTTCACAAAAACATTATACATGGCTTTGTAATTTAATTCTTCAATTTCAGAGATATAAGCCTTCCTATCATGAGCCCAAAACACTAGCCTGGTTAATTTCCATGATATAATATAAGAGATATAAGCATTCTAATTCCTTCCAAATAAGAACACATTCAGAATCCGAATCATCACTAAGTAGTATAAATTAACAGTGCAAGGTTTAATATTTTTTTTTTCATTTGGTATAAATTAACTTATTATTTAAATTGTTTCACTTTATTGCTTTATTCTGTGAACTAAAGATTAACTTAATGAATGAAAGTTTGTGAAAACAGGGAATAAAATAATGAACTATACAAATTTAGAAAATAAATTATATTTCAATAATTTTCTTCATAAGCATGTCGAAAAAGCTGTGCTTCTCAAAAGGATTTTTTTTTTTCTTTAGAATATGTAGATTCATCAGTTATGGAAATATTATTATTATCTCCTCTAAAAAAATTTACTTTTAGTTAGTATAGAGCTTTTAACTAACCTTACCCTCTGTCACTAACTTAGTTGCAGTAACATCAATCAAACAATCTCATTTATGCATTGAGTTCTTAGCTACAAGTCAGAAAATTCATTTGTGCTACAGAACACTCACAAATTAATTTCTTCTCTTCACCTTCAGAAAAATCAAGATACTTCCTCATTACCCAACTCTTCATTTAGATTTTCATTTAATAGTTACTGCATTTTTTTTAAAGATAATGCAACAACCAACTCCCACATGCACATACCCACACACTTTTAAAAAACATAAATTTACACACTTTATATTTAACTGCAAATTTGGTGATTAATGTTCCTTTTTGCCCCTAGGTGAATTTTTGGTCAGAAGCTTTTTTATTTCATATACAATATTTTTTTTTTCCTCCCTGAACAGAAAATACCCATGAGCTGCAGAGATAACCAATAAATCTGACTTTTACAGAGATAAAAATTTGAATTTTCGAGAGATTTTTTTCAATCAAATAGATTAACTAGTTAATACAATTTATTAATATAATTAATTAACATAAATTAAAAAATTAGTTTGCTACACTAATTTTGGAAACACTGAAAATAATTTTTTAATTAAAATTTTTGGTACTTACGTATTAACGCAACCAGGCCAAAATTCGCATAAATCGCCAAATTATGGCAACCCTACGTGTTATACGTAGTTTTTCGTAAATACAATGAGTTCGAAAATGCTGGATTTCTGCATGGAACTGTTAATCACAAATATAACTTTGTGGATCCCAATACGGGCGTTCACACACAACATGTAGAGCGCATGTGGGGCTCAGCCAATGGCGCAACAAAAAACAGAGAGGAACAGCCCGTCATCATCTTGACTCGTACCTTATCGAATTTATATGGCGCCAAGCTCAAGCTGTTAATGGCGAAGACGGTTTTCAATCGGTGCTAAAAGCAATAGCCAAAAGATTTCCGCCGAAAAAATAATTCTGCAACTTATTCAAATTCGAAACCGGAAGGGTTTAATTGCTATTTTATATTTTAAAACAAAATAATATAAAAAACTGTATTAAAAATTATCTGTAATTAATAAATGTACATTTTCTTTCTATTCATACTTTTTTACTCAAACTTACAAATCGCGCCAACCTGGTTGTGATAATACGTAAGTACCAAATTGGTATATATTGAAAGGTTTAGCACTGAATTATGCAGCAATTTTTTAAATATTCATACTGTATCATACTTGTATTAACAGAAAATACAATATACTGTATTGTGTTAACAAAAATTAGTACTGAAAAATGATAATTTTCAGTTTTCCACAAAGTTATATTTGTGATAAAAAGCTAGATATGTCTAAACAGATGGTTATATAATGAATTTTACATAGAATTACCTGTATGCAACTTTAGCCATAGCAGATATAAATGCGATTATGTCTCCAGGTAAAACTTCAGGCCTATCTGTTAGCTTAACATACTGATGTCCGGCTTCAACAGTAATTTGTATAACATGTGCAATTTCAAATTCTAACACTTTTGCTAAATTGTGATGAGGACATTTGATAATTTTGTTACTTGTACATGTCATTAATTGAGCACAAAAGGACTCTTCTTTGCTGCAAGTACGTACATCTCGTATGGCAGGACAGACTGCATCTTCTGGGCATTTCTTTCTTAGAACCTGGCACAAAACATGTATATACTTATTCATTCATAAAGTTCAAAATTGGAAAAATTACAGTAAAATTTATTTTAAAAAATTAAAAACAAAATATGCATTTTTTCCCACTATAACACAAAGACATACCATGACAGCCATCGCCCCAGATTCTAATGCCCATAACTGTACAGCAGAAAGACGACCTCTTGTATTCACAGGTTCATACTGTGGAATTGCAAGCATGTAGCCAGACTCTTTAGGTGCCATGTCAGGTGTTAAATGTTGTGGTATATGGGGACCAATAGCTTGAATATTAGTGTCTAGAAATATAATTTGCATGTCAGTTTTCCAAACTGTACAAGAATGTATCAGAAAAGAAGGAAACTGCAACAACCATAATTCAGATATGTACTATATTAGATACATAATTTATGACAAAGAAATGCAATAGGTGGCTATAGTTGTTCATGTAAATATTAATATAGTAAGTGTAAATATTGCTAATACTTCAAAATGGTAAAGCATAATATGGAAAACATGTCTCTTGTTGAAGTAAGCATGTATAAAAAGATTTTCATAAGTAAGGATATTTCTATATTCAAAATGTCATCTTCTCAAGGTTTATAATTAAAATGCCATGAGAAAAACAATATATGACAAAATGGTATCATATATTTCAGTCAAATGTGAAAATGAAATAACTAGAGTGAAAATAACAAACTTTGAAATTTATCAATGTGCTACATGTTAAAAGAATCTATTCAAAAGGTCTGAATTAATATAGGACTGAATTATAACATTGTTCAATATTCTGTGACAGGTTCTTTAATTTACACAAATATTAGTGACAAATGGGTGGGTAATCGTGACATTATCAAAGGGCAAAAGTAATAAGTCTAATGACAGTATCATTTTCTTCAGCATTAAGCTGAATAATCCATCAAATTGTAACACAATAGGATTGGCTTCATTTAAACTAGCAAAAGAACCACCATGAAGCAGAAGCACTCTTTCTTATAAACCAGAAAAACGTCTGGAGTGAAATCATCTGCAGACAAAGTCCCTGCCCTATTTTAAAATATTTTATTTCATTTTAGTGTACTTTAGACCTTGACCATGCTGTCAACCTGATTAGTTTGCATCTTTCTAAGAAAGTTACAGGAAGCCATTTGATGAAAGCACTTGGGCTATTGAAGAATGGTTTCATTCTCATGCATGACAATAATAGAAATTTTGACCAGTCTAGACAATATTTACATTTTTACAGCCGGTGGATACTTGTCAGCTATCTGGTTTAAAATCTCTTCAAAACAATTTTTCTCCACACACTTTCTCCAAGTGAATTCCCAAAGATAACTTAGGCATTTTGATTGTTTGTAAAATACAACTTCATGTTATGTGCATTTCTACACTCCACTACTTCCAGGTAAAACGGCATATTTCTGAAAACATGCAACACTTTCTTTTTAATTAGCAGATGTACAGTTGCATTATAATTCATTACAAGAAGGGGGAAAAACATACACTAATCAGAAGCAGAAACATAACCCTCAGAATACCAAAATCGGGCATATTTAGTAGATTGCTAGAAAAATATATTTTCATAAGTTTCAAGATTGCTTATTTGTGACATGGCACTTTTCCTGGTCACTCTTGTCATGGTTGGGCGGATAATGTTATAATACTAGAAATTATTTTTTAATGTTACTGCAAACAATACTTTTAATTTTTAGCATTAAAAGCAAAATGTAGGTAAATATTACTTCACACTAGTAAATATGTAATACATAAAAGTCAGAAACAATAAATAAGTAAATTTTAAATAAATAAAATTTGTTACTAACATATTATCCCATCAATCATAAGTTGTCACCAAACAGCCTAATTTAGTTTCAATTATGAATAAGCATGACATAATAGCACACTCTTCTAACATTTGCACCAATGTAACCACAACTGACTCTCAATAAGTCACTTTATGAACAAGGATACAAATTAACTGTTACTGATGTACTTTTTTTTCCATTTTGAAAGAAATGTTTAAAATTTGGGACCTGCCTTCTATAGAACAGCAAGCAGTGGATTATTGTAAAAGTTTTAAGATCCCACCATCAACAAAATTGTATGTACAAGATATGGTCAGCTGAATATGGTTAAAAAACAATAATAGACTGGAACAATTACCTACAGGAAACTTGTACTCATAGTGTTCTAAACAGAGCTTCTGGTAAAATCAGATGGCCTCATAAAATAACAGAAACCAATGAAAACCTTCTGACAAAGTACAAAAATGAAGGTGGTCAAATAGTCATTGTTTAATAAATAAAGAGGTGTCATTTCCTTCAGAATTCCGCAGGAATGATTGCCGCAACTTTGGGAGGATTTCTGTCAACTTTCATGGTTGATAAGATAATCCATTAGTGTCTAAAATTTGTTTAATTACATCCTTAAAATAAATGAATCAAAGGAACTAATACAGCACCTGGTAATCCCATAATTACTTTGTCTGAGCCATCTCCAAAATCAATATCCATAGTGACAAAACCTCCTGTGACCATTGTCAAGTTACATGTAACAATGACTGTTGGTTTCACCACAGCTGGACAGCTGAATACGACACTTTCATCTTCAATGCTGTCAGCTACTGTTACTTCAGTACTAGCCAGTACTCTGTAGGACTATTTAAAAAATAAATAAAATAAAGAAATTAACAAAAATATAAAACAATCAATTATGTATGCAAATAAAGTTTTAGCAATGTAGGTTAAAGATCAAAGTTATTAAAAATAACTTTTGCTGCTGATTATTTGAGTTCAATATTAGCATATTTAAAATAAAATGACAATTTGTTAAAAATTTTCTTGTATTTTAATATTTTTATAGATATTAATATAATTACTAAAAAGAACAGTTTAAAATTATAGCAGAAATGATAACAGTAATTTCAATACTACTATACAAGCAATAAGAACAGAAGAACAAATGATCATATGTGAGCTAGCACTTCTTCTTAGAATGTTCAAGTTATAAAACAGCATCACAGATACAAAGGCTGTTAACTTCAATCTATTATAAAATGCGATAAATTAATGAACTGAAGTTAATTAAATTCCTGACTGCTGAAACCAGCCCTGTTATTCACATAGATTGATTTATAACACATATGACCAAATTGAAAGTCATATTTTGTATATTAAATAAATAGTTGTATATATTATCTTCAACATCCTCATTATGAATATATGTATTTCAGAAAAACAACAAAGGCCTGGCCAAAAATTATAAGAAACAACAAAGCCAATTTTCTATAGTATTTTCTGGACTTAAATCTTTGTACAGCTTTCATGAAATTTCAGAGATTGGTTAATCTTTGGATTATGGTAACTTGGCGATTTTTGGCGAAAATTTGGCGACCAACCCTGCTACAGCAACCTGCTAGTTTTTGTTTGGATGCCATTTTGCTTTCACAAAGTAAAGTCATGTTTTATTTATTTTTTTTTTTTTTTCTACTCAACATTTCCACCATTTTTTTCCAAGAATCTGCTAGCAGAATTACGTTTATGCTAGAACTTTTATGGAACAAAAGTGCTTAATCATGACAAAGATTAGGTGCAAAATTGGGACAAAGTGCAGAATAACCCACTGCTTGCCGCGTTTTTAAGAATTGCACATATACGGTATCATCCCTGTACACGTCGACCTATTTTCACTTAAAAAAACATCCCAGAATTGCACAAAAATGGCATTGCGCACACTCTTTGACTATATCCATGTACACTGCTAAAGTCCTAGCTAGTAACCTTTATCACCTTACCAAAATGTCGCCAAACTACCTGTTACAATATTCCAAAGATTAGCCCAGAGATTTTATTTTTTGTTTGTTTAATTGTTTTCCAAGTTATCTATAGAAAATATTCACAAGGAACAGCATTAGGCAAAGACGATATTCATTTTTGAAAGGATAGATATCTGATATTTCCATCATTAGCTATTTTAAAACACTGGTAGAAGGAGATCCTGAGAACGGTAAGGGCGGGGGTATTGCAGTGGAGACATCCCCTCCGCTAGCTTTTCCAAGTGACATTACTGATTGGATGGAAGTGGATGAACTCTTGCAGAAGCATTGTACGGAGGCATATGACTCTAGTGTAAAAAATAGAAATATACATGTTTACGTTAAAAACGAAACTGACTACAGAAATGCCACGAAAGCATTAAGAGGCAAGTTGATACCTTTCCACACGTATTAACTTCAAAGTGAAAGGAATATACGTGCGGTCCTGAAGAACTTACCCTCATCCATGAAAGAAGAGCCGATCTTGTGCTTAGAATGTTTCCTGTGGTTAAGGTCAAGCAATTTGTTTGATCCAGAAAAGGGGTAAAGGAAAGAACGTCCATATTTTTTCTTTAAATGAAGCGGAATGCCAAGGGCAACCAGATATTTCACCTCAACAACATGTTTAGCTTTGAAGTTTGGGTTGAAAAATATAATCCTTAGAAGCAGTCAACGCAGTGCTTCGCTGCCAGTCATACGAACATTCACAGCACCAGAACGCATTAATCCAGAACGGTGTGTTAAGTGCGGAGGCTCGCATTGCAGAAATATGTGCTTCAAAAAATCAGAGGACATGCCCTGCTGTATTTTTTTGTGGTGGGGAACATGTTATTTGCTTCCATGGTTGTGAGTTCTACAAAGCAAGGTATGAACAGAGGAAGCAACAGAAGCCACAGCGATTAAAAGCCCCAGAAGCGTCACTTGAAAATTTCCCGGAATGCTCTGAAGCAAATCATCGACCTGTGCGAAAACCAAGCGGACTGAGATATAGCGATAAAGTCAAAGGAAAGCCCGGATCTACCTCCAGTACTATAGAGGAGAAATTCTCGTGTATATTTGGTCTCAAAGTTCAAGAACTCTTAAAAACTTTTTTTGAAATTTTCAGGTTTTTGCAGAGTGCAAACTTCATGGATAAAGTGAAATATGGTCTACAAGCCATCCAGAACTTAACAGAATGTGCAGCAAGGGGCTAAACACAGTTATTTTTTGTCACTCGCCAGCTCCCTGGCTTTTAGGCTAACAGCATTTGTGTTCTTTTAGTTACCTTACTGTTTAAAATTTTTCTCTTTAATGTTAATGCTTTTTTAATTTCTTAAAAATCGTTCTTGTTTAAATATTTAACTTGGTTATCTTTTATTTTAATATATCTACGTTTGTGATTTTTTGTTCAGTTATTTGTTGACATTATTCGAAACAACTTACTTGTTCTACAAGGGGTAAGGTTCACGTTAAGACAGGCACCTTGGTGCTACACCATTTTCTCTCAGTTTCAGTTTCAGCTATTTTATCATGTATTTTGAAATATGAAGCTGTTGACTAAACACAAATATTAACTGATTATACCTTCTTTTGCAGCTATTCATTGCTGATTAAAGAAAGGCAGAACTTCTTAATTTAATGTTAATAAAAGCAGTTCTCTGAAGACAGTAGTGTAAATCAGTGAGCACTATTTTTCAAACATCAACTGATAGGAAATGAATACGCAGATTCTATATCCCCTCTTATAAAGCATAAATGTTTCGATTGGTGGATTATTTGATTACAGCAAAGCACACAGGGGCTATCTGCCTAAGAGGAGATGCTTTTGTCGAGGACTTTTTATCAGAAACTGGTTCATATCCAAGTTACTCATTATAAAAATCATAAAAATGGCCATGCAGCCAGCCTTTTCACTAGGATTCAAACCCTGATCAAACTTCCACTGTTCAGCAACTCTTACGTTACGCCACAGGAAGGCCCTTAATCAATTGAAATTTTCCCATTGGGAATAGATTTATTAATATCCTCAGTAACATTCATCATAGTTTTTGGCTTGAATTCTAATGCTAGCTGTGTTAATCAGTTACAAAAATCTTTTATACTGTAATTAATTTTGTTAAATATATATACAAATACTATAATCAATATATTTATTGAAATAAAGATAAAATTCTATAGCATTCTAATTTAAATATTATTTTCAGATTATTGGGAATAAAAATACTATATCTTACTTCTAGAGCACCTCTAGGCTTTGCAGATACTTGTACCCAGTATTTTCCAGGCACATAATACCTATGTACCAGGATCTCATGAACATCATCAAAGGTTCCAAAGCTGCCATCCCCATAGTCAATAGTAAACTCAACATCATCTCCAGTTTCATAACTTACTGAAAATACAACATGAGAAGCAGTCTGAACTACATCATCAGATGGTTTGACAGCAAGACCAGTTATGGATATGATTATGTTTGATCGATAAAAGACCAAAAGATCTTCATTGGTCTTGCATTCATCTGCTGGTGCAATAGGTACATCTTCAACTGTAAAATTCAAATACGTAATGCCATTAGAAATATATACAAATATTATGTTTATTAAAAATAGTATTCAAATTCATTTATACTTGGTATCTTCACCCATAAATTTAATGCTAATCAAAGAATTAGTCAAATTTGAAAATTATATGAGGGAGAAATTTAATTCCCAGTCTTTCCACAATATTTTCAAATAATAAAAGCAGTATTTTCAAAACAATACATGAAAATTATTAAGAAAGGTATATTAATGTAAAACATAATTCAACATAAATTCTAACTTACTAAACATTGTTTGAATTTTCATGAAAAGTTCAACAAAATGTCTACAGTAGACTATTTAAATACAATAAAGCTTGAAAGAAAATTATTTTTAATATAACTAGAACTGGGCAAATAAAATTTGTACAGTTTAGTTTTATTAATTTAATAAATTTTCTTTATTACTGAAAAATACTTTTCTTAGTAAAGGGTAAAAATTAAAAAATGAGAGATTTGGTGATCTACTGAGATATTAGTAGATGCAATGAAAACCTATAAGTCTCTCAAAAAACAGAGTTGGTAGCTATATGCATATATTAATTAGAAAGCAAATAATTGTAAAGTTAATAACAGCAAAAAAATTTTTTTAATTTTTTGCAACATGATTTCATTCAGCTGAATTTCTAACAGTTGGTGTTAATGAATACACAGCTAATGCTTTTAGGAAAAACAACACTTATTGTTTAAAATATCTTTGCAAACGTCAGATTTAATTAAAAATCAACCCAATATAAATATCTGTGATATAATCATCATTGTTGAAAACATTATCAAAGAATAGAATAACAGAATTCCGTCTATACATTTCAATTTCAGACAAGTTACGAAACAAAAAATTTAGTTACTTGTAAAAAAATAAAACAAAATTTAATTATTCCTTAATATTTTTTACTTATCTGCTAAATCAATTAGTATTTAAGGGAAGTGATGTACTAGACAAAAATTAATCCTCTCATAAATACATTAAAAATAAACAAATTGATTTACTTGGTATAATAAAAAAGCCTACAATCCTTTCTGAGGACTTTTTTATTTGCAACTACAATATATAAATTATTCAATTTTCTTCTTTCTACGTTTTCCATATTACTATTGTTTAATAACTTCTGATATTTATTTGAAATGTCATAATGCAGAGGAAAAAAATTATTATGAAAACTTAATTAACACAGTCTTAATGAATGCAATGCTTTAATTTTAAAATACATAAATTATTAAAAAAGCTCAGTTAATCTTTGGATTATGGTAACTTGGCGGTTTTTTGGCGAAAATTTGGCAACCAACCCTGCTACAGCAACCTGCTAGTTTTGCTTTGGACGCCATTTTGTTTTCACGAAGTAAAGGCATGTTTTTTTTATTTTTACTCAACATTTTTTCCAACAATCTGCTAGCCGAATTACGCTTATACTAAAACTTTTATGGAACAAAAATGCTTAATCATGACGAAGATTAGGTGCGAAATCGGGAGAAAGTGCAGAATCACCCACTGCTTGCCACATTTTTAAGAATTGCACATACAATGATCATCCATGCACACATCGACCTATTTTCACTTAAAAAAACATCCCAGAATTGCACAAAAATGGCATTGCGCACACTCTTGACTTTATCCATGTACACTGCTAAAGTCCTAGCTAGTAACCTTTATCGCCTTACCAAAATGTCGCCAAACTACCTGTTACCATATTCCAAAGATTAGCCAAAAGCTCATAAAAAATGTTTCTTCCTTTAAAAATATTCCTTGCACAGCATAAACACAATCTGTAAAATCTAATACTATTTATGAAAAGTGATACAAGAATTGCTTTTTTAAAAACTCATGATATCATATGAAAATACATTATAATGAGCATAAAATTCTTTAATAATCTTTAATTAAAAAACTTGGGAAGTAAATTGAATATTTTATAAACTTTATGATCTAGAATTTTGGCTAGCAAATGCTGACATATAATGAAAGTCAGAATGGAGAAATAACTTAAGCCTCAGTACACTATGAAGAAGAGTCTCCCAGACCTAGGCTTAGAGAAGCCCATACACAGTTATGATGCCCCAAACCCTAGAGGTGATCCTAGGAAGCATAACACCCCAGTCAACCCATAGGGACAAAACTGCCACAGTCAGTGGACATGAAAAAAAAGCAAATCATGGTGGCTGGCAAGCAACCGCTAACAAAGAAAATGAAGATCAACATCAAAGACTGTTCCCCACTGTTGAACAAGGGAAGTGAAACTCCCAAGGATGACCTTTAAAATCTAACCATCTAGTGCCCCCACAACCAAGGAGCAAACAAAACAGTATCAGTACAATCCCTGCCTAGCCTGAACGTACCACCAAATGAACAATGACTCAAGTCCTGTGAAGACTGATTATATACCCCCGTGGCGAGATTACCTAAGTACAGATCCTAGACAGTAGCTTCACAGATTTTACCTGCATCAGCCCCCAGAGGGGATTATGTAACCACAGATACATTTATGCCCATTTAGGTGATAACATGCAGCTCATACACAGTGTAATCTTGATTATACACGTACAAATTATACATGTGTGACAGTGCACTTCCACACACACTCAATGCTACGTAGAAGAGTATGTAAAAAACGAACACATGTAACTCTTAGCACGTTCTAAAAATTGCTGAATTTCATCTTTAGGTTTAGTTTCAACGACTGCCTCATACAAATCATTTTATATGTGCATAGTCGAAGCCATTGTTTCGGTTGACTCTTTTTGTTCTATGTATGTTTCTTCTTATCTTTTAAAAATTTATTTAAAATTTTAGAATTAATTAAGAACACAGTATAAGTGCTAAGTGCAAATTGTTTAACATTAAAACACAAACTTACATTAATCAAAAGATTATGAACACCGACAATACAGCTCACCGGAGAATATGAAATTAGCATATAATCTGTTTATAATATTGTTAAACCAAAAACAGAAGTTAGAGGCCTTCACAAGAGATTGTGATAGTGCAGCAGATCCTTCTAATAGAAACAACATGAAATTGTCAACACATGAAAACAAACATTCAGCTATGCTGAAATGGTTTAATTAGAAATGAGGAGAAGTGATAATTAGCAATCAAATGCTCATAGAGAAATCCAAGTGTTTCAATGAAAAACTAGGATTAAAAGGCAACTTTAAAGCCTCATTGCGATGGCATATAATATTTAAGCAATGATATAGTATTCGAGAACTCACTATACAAGAAAGAATGTCTCAGTCGTTGAGCTGAAGCTACTGATAAATTCGACATTGATTCAATATACATAAAAATTGATAATTTGCTTAAAACTCACAAACTTTTATTCGCAATATATTCTGCATTTTCTGTTACTGTCATATATTTTTGATTCATGATATCAGATATATAGATTATTTTTTAATAATATTTCAAAATCTATATTTTACAATAGCCCTTGGATTATCACAAAGCTGTTATTTCATTTGTTGTTAAGTTGTTTTTTCATTTATGGTAACCTGAGTATTTTATGGTGAATGTTTTGGAAACCCTATCATGACGTGACTGGTTGCAATACATGATCAGGCTAATTTTGGATTTAGGTGAATATTCCTCAGGGATTATTTCTGTGTTGGATGTCAACTAGACAGTATGCTGTTTATTTTGTACTTTACACCATAATATGGCTGCCTGTGGTGAGATAACCTGAAGTTTCTGTATGATTTGAATGAATGCGAAAGAAAGAATTGATTGACTGGTGTACAAATTGAGGTTTAAATGGCTTCGTTCATCTCTCAGAAAATCACACTGTGACAATTAAGGATCTGGAAACCGGAGCTCATATTAACACTATCAAAGGTATGTGGAATATCAAAAGGGATTTTCGAAAGAAATGCCACCGACAGTCAGGCACTATGAAGGTTACTTTTAATTGTTACATTTGTGAATTTATGTGGCAATGGATACAGATTCTACTTCAAATACTTTTAAAGAGTTTTTAGATGCTGTTATGCAATTCTGTATGCCACGCATAGGAAGACACAGAAATTTCTAAATAAAGTAAAGCAATATTTCCTTTTTGTACTGTGCAGATTAGGGTAAAAGTATATTTTAGGGTACCCCTTGATGAAACTTGGCAATTTTTGGCGGTACATGGATATCGAGTTTGTGCAATTCTTTGACTTATTATTTTGGCTTGCATAACGTCAATTTTTGCGCCAAAAATCGCCGCTATGCAAAGCCAAAATAACATGAAAAAGAATTGCACAAACTCGGTATCCATGTACACATCGACCTATTTTCACTTAAAAAAAAATCCACGAATTGCACAAAAATGGCATTGTGCACTCCCTTGACTTTATCCATGTACACATCGACCTATTTTCACTTACAAAAAATCCAAGAATTGCACAAACTTGTATTGCGCACTTCCTTCACTTTGTCCATGTACACATCGATATATTTCCACTTAAAACGTCAAAGAAGCACCCAATTCTACGATACAGGCAAACAAAAAATACATAATCTCAATAAACTGCATTTTAAACTAAACAATAATATAACATAAAAGGGGAAAAACATGTTATGGCTAATCTTTGGAATATGGTAACAGGTAGTTTGGCGACATTTTGCTAAGGCAATAAAGGTTACTAGCTAGGACTTTAGCAGTGTACATGGATAAAGTCAAGAGTGTGCGCAATGCCATTTTTGTGCAACTCTGGGATTTTTTTTTGGCTCTAATGTAGAATTGGGTGCCCCTTCGATTAGCGACAATTTTTTTTTCAAATTTCGGCGATGAAACCTCACTTCTGGTTACCATGATAGTTTTAACTTTGTTTTAGCTTCCTGATTTTATTTAAATGAAAATAGATTGATGTGTACATGGACAAATTTAAGCTAGTGCACAATGCCTAGTTTGTGCAATTCTAGGATGTTTTTTTTAAGTGAAAACAGATCGATGTGTACATGGAGACAGAGTTTGTGTAATTCTTTGACTTCTTATTTTGATTTTGTATAGTGGCCATCTTGAATTGTTCCTTCCTGGTGCCGATCTTGGCGTCAAAAAAGAATCGCCAAAAAAGAAGGGGCACCCAATTGTAAACTTTTACCGTTTTTTAAAGTGAAAATAGGTCAACGTGTACATGGATGATAATGTATATGTGCAATTCTTAAAAACGCGGCAAGCAGTGGGCGATTCTGCACTTTCTCCCAATTTCGCACCTAATTTTCGTCATGATTAAGCCCTTTTGTTCCATAAAAGTTCTAGCATAAGCGTAATTCAGCTAGCAGGTTGTTGGAAAAAAATGTTGAGTAAAAAAAAAAAAAACATGCCTTTACTTCGTGAAAACAAAATGGCGTCCAAAACAAAACTAGCAGGTTGCTGTAGCAGGGTTGGTCGCCAAATTTTCACCAAAAAATCTCCAAGTTACCATAATCCAAAGATTAACCGTCAACGGTTATTCAATATATTTTAACTTTTTACTCCAGAATTATAATTTTGTGAACGTAATGATAATTACTATAAATGCTGCTAATGAAGGTCATAAGGAGTGTGTGCGGAACTTCCGCTTGAAATCTATTGATATGTTTTTCCTTGGCTAATCTTTGGAATATGGTAACAGGTACTTAGGCGACATTTTGGTAAGGCGATAAAGGTTACTAGCTAGGACTTTAGCAGCGTACATGGATAAAGTCAAGAGTGTGCGCAATGTCATTTTTGTGCAATTCTGGGATGTTTTTTTAAGTGAAAATAGGTCGACGTGTACATGGATGATATCGTGTATGTGCAGTTCTTAAAAACGCGGCAAGCAGTGGGTGATTCTGCACTTTCTCCCAATTTCGCACCTAATCTTCGTCATCATTAAGCACTTTTGTTCCATAAAAGTTCTAGCATAAGCGTAATTCGGCTAGCAGATTGCTGAAAAAAAATGTTGAGTTAGAAAAAAAAAAAAAATACCTTTACTTCGTGAAAACAAAATGGTGTAAAAAAAAAACTAGTAGGTTGCTGTAGCAGGGTTGGTCGCCAAATTTTCGCCAAGAAATAACCAAGTTACCATAATCCAAAGATTAACCCATGTTATACATTTAAGCACTACAAAAAGCAAATATACACTTACCCAATTTAGAAATTCCTTCGTCTCTTAGTCTGTGGCACACAAGATTCCTTAACAGCATCCAAAAACTTCCTAAAGTTATCTGAACTTCAATCCGTATATCGGCATCAACACATCTGAACCTTTCTTTCTACAAACCCATTGAAATCCATCTAAACGGTTTTTACGTTCGACTAGACACATATCCTTCCTACATACAGAACACTTATAATGGCTACTAAGTAAACCTTCATTTACACACCAGTCAATTAACGCCCCTTTCGTTCCAAATCGTACAAAAACTTCAAATTAATCTTACTACATTCAGCCATTCGACCGTCTAAACAATAAAACCAACATGCACCACAAAAGCACTTACAAAACATCTCCCGATTCAAAATTTCCCAGAATCAAGCACCCAATTATGTCACAATAAGGTTTCCATAACATTCAACTACTCAGGCTACCATAAATGAAACAATAACTTGGCAATAAATGAAACAACTTCGCCAAAATACAAGGGGTACCTTAAAGTCTACTCCAATTCAGATTAGATGACATGTATTTCCATTTTTATGTTATTTCCTTGCTTTATCTTGATTTTAAAGACAGTTTATTGAGGTTATAGTTTTTTATGTTTTATTGCACATGTTTGGACGCAATTTTACTTGGGAGGGCATTGCACGTAAACAGGAATGGCTCCAAAATATCGTCAAGGGATACCCTAAAATATATTTTTCTCTACTTCAAGTTTGGAATTTAAAAATGATTAAAGAGTTTTATAATTTTAATAGGAAACAGCTAGAGTATAGGACCCCATTGGCGATTTTTTGGCTTGGCAACCAAACAATGACGCCAAGCCATGGAAAAGCAGTTAAAATTTAATGTTTAAATTAAAAATAAAGAAAAGTTTGAAAATACACAAGTACATGGAGCAGTAATATTGAAAATGCAAGTTTTAAGTTGTAAAAATGAAAACAGGAGTTCAGAATACATGTTTAAATTTAAAAAAAAAAAAAAGAAATGCTGGGAATTTAGTAAAGTTTACAAAATCATGGTAAATTTACAAAGAAATCCTATACTCTGCCCAGTTTATGTCCCTTACATTTTCTAGAAATTTGTTGAATATATCAATATTTTGCTACCTGCAAGATTTAGTGAAAATATAAAAAGCCAAATAAAATTTTTAATCTGTTTGCATACTGATTATGTATTGGCAAGGAGCTTTTCACATGCCTCCATGAACTTTCTATTGTGTTTGTATGGTATCCCGTTTCCGAGTCAACAATATGCAAACTATGATTTACTTTCAAATGCTCCAGTCTGCTAATGAATTAGAAGCCAAAAAGTACTCCTCTTGAATAGCTCCAGTTTTAGTCCCTCTGAGCATTTCGTATGTTAAGAAAATTATTTCATCCATCCTCAATTTACTGTTATAAAACAAGGACCCATATCTAATTGACTTCCGAGATCCACATGCCTTCCCTGCCGTAACTTTCCTACACACCCACATAAAACAATCTGACTGACTTTTTAACCTTAAATTTCATTTCTGACATATAAATTCCCCCTTTGTCATGCATGCCTTCTTTAAAAAGGTCTAAGAATAATTGCTGATTTTGACATAAATGAACAACGAACAATCTATTGGCTACACCAAACTTTTCTAAGGTCATCCTTCCATTTGAAAATGAAATTTTAAATTCTCCATTAATACTTCCTCAAACTTTTCAACAATGCTTAAAACAGATGACATCTTAATCTCAAAATATAAGGAAATTGGAATAAAATGAAATAGAAAAAAAAAAAAAAAACAGTAGAACCAGTTCACGCAATGAACTTCTTCTGCTCCAGTGAAGAAAATGGCATGGCACTTTCAGTTTAAAAAATGCGGGAATGCGACAAGGTTTCCGAAATGGAGTATTCTACAATTTGCTGGGTTACCAGAAAAACAACCCTCCAAAAAGTGAGCCAAGCCGAAAAGCGCTAATGGGATCCTATACTCAACCTGTATCTTTAATAGTTTAGAAAGCATTTTAAATGGTTGTTCTCAAAATTTGGGGAAAGTGTAGAATCGCCCACTGCTTGGCGCACTTTTAAGAATTGCACATACTCGGTATCCGTACACGTCGACCTATTTTCACTTAAAAAAAAATCCCAGAATTGCACAAAAATGGCATTGCGCACTCCCTTCACTTTCTCCATGTACACATTGACCTATTTTCACATAAAAATTCAAAGAAAATTGACAAAAATCCTTAATCTTGTAATAAATTCTTACTCTTGTAAAAAGCGCCAAACAAACGCCAATGAAATAAGTGGGCGATTCTGCACTTTAGCCCAAAATGTTTTTATACCAATAATTTATTCCCTGATAATGAAATTCATAACGTGCATGTTATTAGATACGGACTAATCAATTTATAACGGATTTAGAAATATCAGTCTCCAAAATATAAAATACATACTATTACGTAAAATTAATAAAGTTCCTTACAAAAGAACTTTAAAATTTTACATTCGTCACATGCTTAAAAAGTGACATCTTTCTGCTTAACATTTGATTTTTACGCGGCAAAATAACAGCGGCCAAAGTAAACAGATTTCTTGTTTTGCAAGCGCTAAGTTTTTATGCTCGCTGAGCGAAAAGTCGAGTATACTTGCATGAGAAAAGTGAAACGGCAATTTTTAGCGAGAGAAAAAATAATTTCATTGCATTCGATACGAAATTTTTTAAAAGGCATATTAAAGAGAGAGATTAAAAAAAAGAAAAGATAAAGCCTTATACTATATTAAAAAAATAATTATGGGCTTGGATAACACAAAAAAGGCGAAAGAAAAATGTAACGTAACCAGTTAAGTTTCCTGAGCGGCAACTTAATATACTACCCAATTTAAGCAAAGGAAAAAAACTCACTATTTGGATGCTCCGTTCCAATAACTGAGCACTCCTGAACATGTGTTTCTTATTAGACAAAGGAACAAAGTTAAAAAGCCCTTGATAAGAAGTGTTACACTTTAAAATTTCTAAGGTAATCTGAGCTAGTTGAAAGCATCAGCAGAGCTAGAAAAGGAAGGTGTTGAAATCAAGCTAAACTGCAATAAATCCTTTCCCGAGAGCCAATTTATGAAACGGCACATACATACATTTTGCATTTAGGCGTTATCTTAATTGTTTCCATGTAATTGTCCAATATTAGAACTTCATTTATACGTGGTACGCTGCAGAGCGCCGGACACACGTTACTATGACAACGATTTTAAACGAAAGATTATGCATGCGCTCATATCCATTCTGTTGGATTAATTTCATGGCCATACATAGTTTAGTACAAAAGATATAAGCCGAAAGATAAAAATAAAGGGAAAGGAAAATTAAGCATAACAGTGAGAACTAGAAAAATGAATGGAAGTTAGCAGCGACTACATAAGCAATTATTTAATCAGGTAATAATAATATAAAGTATAAAAAACTGACATTACTCTAAGTGAAAGAGCCTTGCATGTACTTATTTATTAAATACTGTGAAAGTTTGAAACGTAGGAAATGTTAAACACCGTTCTGACTCCAAGAAGATTAATATTTTTTTATTTTTTTGGAACTCTTATATTATTCTATATTAGAATAATATAGAATATATTATTATTATTATATTATATAGAATGAATACCTTTTTTTAAATCATTGTCTCCAGGAAGTGGAGACCTCATTTACATTCTAGCGAGAATTAACAAAACGAAGAAGTGAAAGTAAACATCAAACCACAAGAAAAAAGGTTAATTAACATAAAATGCACATCACAGATTTACATAAAATGAATTTTTCTTAGCATGTTTTAATATATGAGTTTTAAAGTTTTTTAATTTAAATAGATAAAAATATTGCTTCATATTCTAACGAATTTCCAATTTATTTTTTATTATTATAAATTAAGGTTTTCAGAGATAAAATAAAAAGTTAAAAATCTGCGCTTGTACCTTTTTTGTCTTTAGCGCATAAGCACAGCCTTTGTTTTAATATTCCAGAATAAGGTAAGAAAAATGCTCCACATTTTGCTCGACATTCCACATCGGTTATCAACTGGGTTCTAGGATCATAGCCACCAGGAGAATAATGGAAGTATTCCGCCCCGTTTAAGTAGATGCAATCTCCATCATCTACAGCAAGAACACCTGAAACCCAAATGAAAATGTTAAAAAGAAAGGAGTAATGGAATATAAAATCACATTTCTGTAAGTAAAAAAAAGTTCAGAGTTTACTATGTAGAGAAAGAAAAGTACTTTTTTTATTAATAAAATTATTGTATGCTTCAAAGATTATTAGTTATGTTCTGTCGTTAGGACAACTTTGCTCAAAATTATTTCATGTTTTATGTTCTTGGAGCCTTGCATGACGCATGTTGCTTCGCATGTGATTAAGGTTGTAAAATAAAATATTAATTAGTACAGTTCATTCTTTTTGTCAATTCTGAGTTGTTTGTATAACAAATTATTTTATTGAAATTTATCTCAAAGTCCTGTTTCAAAACTGCAAAATTTAAGTTTTGAGAAACGAACTATTTTTCAGCTTTCATTACGACATAAAGAATATACTTATTTTAATTTTTCTTTAGACAACAGAAATAACGTAGGCTATTTTGTGCCAAAATTGCTTCCAAAAGTACTTATTATTTTTATCCTAAGAGAAAGCACGGACTCAGAAATCATTAAGGATCACCGCTCATAGGTTAAGGAAGTCCTACTCTCCGAGAGAACAAGATCTTGATTGAATAGTGATGTCTCATGTGTAGCGATCACGTGGTGCGAGAGGCCTCGGATATGTAGTTGCTTACTCGTATCGCCATCCATTAACATCAATGAGAAATGCAGCAGAGCACGAGTTTCGCATGCCCTTGAAGATATTAATGACCTTGGTATTCGATCCTGGGTCTGCTTAATGCCAGTCGAATTCTCTACCAGTAGCGCAAAAGAAAAGCGCTTGGTTCAAGAATTCCAATATTTAGAATTTCCTAAGAATGTATTCTTAGGTGGCTGGAGGCCACGAGGAATGGGTACTAGTGTTTGGGACACTAACCGGTGCCGCCATTCAAGGGAGAAGGCCCTACCGGGCTTGAAAACATCCTGATTGTTGAGCTAGTAATCTAGGCAGTTAGGCTGCCCATTTACTGCTGTTTGTGGACTGTTGTCCTTTATTATTATTAAAAATATACACTTACACTATACTAATACTTATACATCGAGATGGCTAGTAGAGGACTTGTGTCCGTTATTTTAGAGGTTAATAATAACTTTGGTTATAGTGGACACGTACTATTTACAATATTTACAATCGTAGGTCATGTCCTACTCTTTGTTTTGTCCAGGTTCGCAGACCTCTTACATCAGGTTTCAGTGATGATGTCTTTCCTCGTATTTAAGTCAGAGATGATATTATTGTAGACTAGCAGCTTCGCTGCCAGCCTTCGTCTGGCTTTTAAATGTACCGGAAAAATGGTTGAAGGGAACACCAAACGTTAAATTTAAAAACTGCATAGAATTTTACTCTGCAGAACAACTTCATAAAAAAAAAAGTTGTTACGTATAACAAAATTACAAAGAAATAAGCAATATCCCTTAATACAAATATTAATTATCTTAATAAATAAATTAACCAAGTTCCCTTTGCAAAATCTTAAAAACTCAAATGGTATAAAGGAGGTTAAGAACTTTGTTTCCTAAAAAAATAACTCAAAACTTTTCAATATCTTAAAAACAGTGAAATGAACAATAAATAACATAAAACAATACAAAAAAAAATTCTGAAAAGGAAAGTATAATTAATGGTATTTTATCTTATATTTTCAAGAGCAAAAAATTAGGTGCTACTTTGGTAGACGGTTGCACGGATTTTTGGCGATTTACATTGGCGCGGTTTTTATAGTCATCAGCCATCTTGAAAAATGCTGTTTTTACGTATTTTACGGATATAGTAAAGTATTAGAAACTTTAAAAAAATAAATATCGTTAAAAATAATGAATTAATTTTTTGGTTGAAAAGGTTGTTTTTTAAGATGGCTGGCAAATGTAAATAAATACATTTACTAAGAGTATAAAATACTAAAGTAAGGTTAAATTATTACTTTCATATAATAGAATAAAACCACCGCTATAAAAACATTGCGCCAACATTTAATTGGATTAAAATATTGCTTAAATTGAATATCCAATTAAAAACATCATACCAACGTTTAAAAGAATTAAAATATTACTTAAATACTTTAAAATAAGTTTTATAGGATTTAATTATTTAACATTAAAACATATGTGGCAATAAATATCTCAGGAATTTTTGAAAACATTGTATTAATTTTTTAATAAAAGTTGAAGTATACAATTATAAAGTAAAAGAAAATTATGTACTTACATTTTTTTAAAGTATTTTACCTGTCGTATATTGATAAGTACCATAATAAAACGCATTATTTTTTAAATAAAATGACAGCAAAGTATCGGTTACCATAGATAACTTATCCAGCAATGGGTTTACCATAAGTCGAATACTCGCCAAAAGAAAAATTGCCAAAATCCGTGCAACCGTCTACCAAAGTAATACCAAAAATTACAATGAAATAAGCTATATCCCTTAATACAAATATTAATTATCCTAATAAATAATTAACCAACTTTCCGTTGAAGAAAAAAAAAATCATGCAAAACTTTGCAATACCTTACAAACAGTGAAATAAGCAAAAAATAACATGAATGAAACTCAAAAACAAAAAATTTCGCGCAGGATTTTACTCTGTAGAACAACTTTATAAAAAACATCAATAAAAATGTATTAGATATATATAAAAAAATGGCAATGGAATAGGCCAATCTCTTAAAAACAGTGACATAAGAAATACAATGAAAAATTGTTGCCAAACACATATTTCTAAAAGAATGAAACTATTCAAAATGATGCGATTTCATCAAAAATCTATCAACAACAATAAGAAAGGAAAATTGTTGCTAAAATCACATTTGTAAAGATGTGAGATGTGAGAAGAGTAATCGGAAGCTTCATTTAAATTTTTTTAAAAAAAATACAAAATATTATCATTTTCCAAAATTCTTTTTGTATAAGCAGTCGCAAGGATGAAAGTTTAACGTGTCC